ATAAAAATTCCATATTTTATCTAATGCATCACATGAAACATGTCTGACCTTATCCTCCTGCTCAGCCCCCCTCAGCCTCAGAAATGTTTTTCTATCACTTGCTTGTTTCTGTCACTCACCTTAAAATGACAAGAATCTACAGACGGTCTGTCTCCATTTGACGTGTGGCATCACTCATGGTGCTCTGGCTGGCTGCAGGGTAGCAAATGTGGGCAAATAGAGAAGAGGTGTATGAGGAATGTTTATAACTGTGATTTAAAGGTGTTTACGATTGTCCTGTTAATGTGAGTCACTCTTAACTAACAATTCCTTGATGTGACAAAACAAGGGTCACAATGTTGAGAAACAAAATCATTTCACTTAGCCTGCTGTGAATTATCAACTAGCTTGAAGTCATGGTCCACCAAGTCACCCCCATACCTCACAAACATGTGATGTCATCACCAGTGAGACGCTGTAAGCTTGTTGTTGTTACCCGGGTGCTGCACATGTTTGCTTTTTAACATATGGAATGGAAAGCCCACGGAGAGGAGACTGGTAATATGTTTGTGCACCTCACAATCTGTGAATGTATGTGAGCCTTTCTGCAACACTTGTGTGTGAAGACCTGTCTAGGCTGGCTCCAGCTGTGGGTTGGGGGTTCAGAGGGCCCCCTGTGCATTCACAGCAAACTCCCAAAGCTAAACAAGACCTCCACACACTCACGTACACTCGTGCATGTACAGTAGACCTGCTACAATACAGTTTGTGTTGTCTAGTTTCACATGAATAAGTGGAGACAGAGCTGTTTGAGATGATGGCTGCTCAGGAACTCGGGACAAATTCCATTTCTGGTGCAACAAAAACACCTGGACCTAAAGTCAGGAGGAGTTGTGGTTAAAATCCTGCAAAGGGAACCAGAGGGTGTCTTCCAGCTATAGAGGAAGGTCCAGATAGTTGAATGTAGAATGAGGAGCAATGTGGTTTTCATAGATCAGCTCTTAACCCTTACTGGGATGATTGAAGAAGTCAGTGGTCCACATATGCTTTGTGGATTTAAAGGAGGCTTAGGAGTTTCTGGGAATCACCATGAACCGCAGATGACCAGACCGCCCCGACGTCAGCGTTCACAGCTTTGTGTGCAGAAGCAAAGAGTCAGAAAAAGTCAAAAATGTAAAAATTCTTACTTGTTAAAAAGCTTTCAATGGACCTTGAGTTAAACAATGTCTTGAGCAGAATCTCAGCTGGCTGAGTGACATCATAAAGTAAGACTAAAGTACCATATAGTGCATGTTTATTTTTATTTGTGCCATCAATACACAAGAACCAGTTGATTCAGAGTTGGTGATGCAGTGGCACTTGCATTTGATTGAATAACAGACCCTTATGCACGTACAGATGACACGACACAGATGCTTTTGGATGTTTACTTGTTTGCATCACAAATTCCATGATTGCCTCATGGTGAAGAGGGAAGGAGTGAGAGACCGAGGGAGTCTTACATTCTCTGTTGCCACAAAACCATTTAAAAATGAAACCAGACTAAAGGACAGCACACTTTAAAATACTGTGAGTCACCATAGAGATGGCTGTGCTGTTGTTGCTTTGTGGCTTTGAAATGTGCACAGCACTGAGAAATGTTAAATAAAAGGCCTCTTTGGTTGCAGTGCTGCACTGAAAACAGGGTGATTACACGTTGCATGGTTCATCATCACATTTGCATGTTCAATTGAATAAAGATAGCAGAAAACTGTCTGGGAGAGAGTAAATTAAACTGAGAAATAACAGATTTAACACAAAATTATCTGTATTTTCAATTAAAGTCAGTTTATTTATATAGCACCAAATCACAACAAGAGTCATCTCAAAGCATTTCACAAAATAAATCATTCCAATTGGGTTCAGTTCATTATGCCATTAGTTAAAAGTTTCCTGTGTGAGGAACCCTGCAGATTGCATCTAGTCACTAACTTGTTGTGTTAGAGACTTCCCTATGCTAAGTAAGCATGTAGCGACAGTAGACAGGAAAAACCCCTAAACAGGAAGAAACCTCTGGAGAATCCTGGTTCAGTACGAGCAGCCATCCACCACGACTCTCTGGGGTTTGAGAAGACAGAGCCGAGGCACCTTCACGTGTGTGTGCGCGCACACACACACACACACACACACACACACACACACACACACACACACACACACACACACACACACACACACACACACACACACACACACACACAAACACAACATATAAACCAACTAGTGCTATGGCTACATTGTGATTTCCTAGTTGAGATTTTGAATCTATAATGAATTCAACTGGTGAACTTGTAGTAGCACATGCTGAAGAAAGCTAAATGTTATCATCAGGAAAGAGCGAGCATCCAGTGGATGGCAGCAGTGTGCCAGCTGATGGCCCCCTCCAGGAGGCCATGATGCTCAGCAGAACACCAGTGTGGCTTCTTCTGGGGAGAGAAACACTTAGAGAAAATAAAGTTAACAGCTAGAATAATGCTATTGGAGAGTAGTGGTAGAAGAAAGTAGCAGATTGTGTTAAGTGGTTGATATGCCCTCCAGCAGTCTAAGCCTATTGCAGCACACATGCAGAGATAACTCAGGATAACATAGCCTTTTAGATAGAGGCATGTGAAGAAGAAAATGTCCTTTCTATAGCGCCTCTCAAGATAAAAATGACGAGGCGCTTCACAAAAACAAAAAATGTTAAAATATAAAAAAGAATTTAGAAAATGGTTAAAAATATCTTTAAAATGAGCAAAAATAGGCAGTTGTGATTTTAAAAATGTTAAGAAAGAGAACAGGAAAGAGGGAAATCAGTGGATCCTGAGGAAGGTGGAATAGGTGGGGAGAGCAGAATAGAGGGTGAAGAAGGTCATACAAAAGCCATTTTGAACAAGTGAGTCTTGCTGCTTTTTAAAGGAAACCACTGAGTCCACTGATCTCAGGCTCAGGGGGAGAGAGTTCCAGATTCTGGGGGCCACAGCAGCAGATGATCTGTTACCTTTAGTCTTTAGCCTGGTGCGCTGCACAACCAGTAGACTTTGATCACTGGACCTCAGGGACCTGCTGGGGGTGTAGGGACTAAGAAGATCACCAATGTAAGATCGTGCTTGTCCATGTAAGGCCCTATAGACCAGAACCAGGATCTTGAAATGAACCCTGAAGTTGACTGGCAGCCAATGAAGCTGGAGGAGAAGCGGGGTGATGTGGGAGGCAGAACCAGAGAGAACCATCTTTACAGACTGTATTCCCAACGGCACACTCCACCTCTCTCTACTCCATACTCGTCCAAACTAACATCAGAATTTAACCACAGGCCCTATCAAATAATAGAGTTTTAGGCCTAGTCTTAATAGCAAACGAGGTGTCTGCCTCACAGAACAAAGCTGGGAGCTGGTTCCACAGGAAAAGAGCCTGATAACTAAAAGATCTGCCTCCCATCCCTATTTATAGATATTCTAGGAACCACCTTTTATTTCACCTGTGGAAAAACTGAAATTCTTTAAAATATTTTTGTCAAGACCTGTGTGATGCAAATGATTATGTTTCTGCTGGTATGCACAGGTTCTGCTGGTCCCACTGCAGCTCAACAAGCTGATTTTGCATCAGTCAGATTGTTGAATCTGTCTGTGTTGGACTTTTTATCCTTTAAACACATGCAACGAAAATAAAATTTGATAAATGCCGCCACCAAAACCATTAGCTTGATTAGTTGTCAGCTTGCTGATGCATAATGAATGGTGCTTAAAACAACATTGTGTGCTGCGGGGTAAAAATCACCTCCTCAAACTCAAAAACATTATCAAACTTGTGTTTTGGTTAAACTGGATTATTGCACGCTGCAACCAACCCACGCCTAAACAAACACACTGACTAAGCTGACACATCGGAGAAGCATCCACCTTTTTGCACCATCGTGTCAGTTCATCCACTGTTCACACACATTGTAAATTCACCCCCAACAGGGGACTCACTGTATGTTTTATATGTATTAAATTCTGACAAATTAAACCAGTCAGAGCAGACGATGCAAAGGGAAGGAAAAGAGAGTGCTTTCTGTTGCTGCAAAACAACATACTGTATTTACATCCGACAGGTCAGTTTGTCAGACGTCAAAAGAACGTTTCTGTAAGCAGGTGTTAAACCTGCCCTGGAAAGAGACTGTCGTCACCGTTTAACAAAGACGCTCTGAGAAAACGCCGTATTTTTAGTCTCAGAGTGTGACTGAATGTTCCCCATTTAGACTGATCGCCACTTAAGTGTGAAGTAAAGGTTTCACATGTGAACAAGAACAGGTCTGGAGCAAGGATGCCAAATATTTTAAATTCAAAAACATTGAATGCATCTGAATAGAGATAAATGGACATAAATCCTACTTGATTCAAATAAACGTTGTGTCTAATATGAAATGTTTTGGTATAAAGCTGAATGTAAACAGCTACATCTCTCAACGATCTCCAGCATTCAAGCTTTAATTAGGTGCTATTATTAAACTATGATCATAATTAACGTTAGACAATAAAATATATCAGAAGAAATCAAAATCTAATATGTGGTGAACTAATGAAATCTATTATTTTCTTTAAAATAATCATTTTAGAGCGTGCATACATGCATGCTTGTGTGTGTGTGCCTGTGTATGTGTGCATGCATATTTACATGCATGTGTGTAAATTCTTTTACATGGCTTTCCTGCAGTGTGTAAAATAATTAAACAGTCTGGACTCACACATTAACACATACATGAGCATTTTATTGCAACATTTCCCTGAAATAATGAGGGAAGCATTCCTGTTTTTCCTTTCTCACCCCCTGCGAGCGCCTAATGGGTGGATGTGAGCATGTTTCGCATCTGTGAATTATGACATTTTTTTCTGGAGGTTGTGTTTGCTCTCAGTCAGATTCATCCCCCTCTCTCCCTTCCTCCCCATGTGTCTCCCACCCACTAGGTGACTCCACCCTGCAGCAGATAAAAGCTCTGTCTACAAGGTGTGTGTCTCTTATGGACACATGCCGGGGTTCTCTGTGTCTTGTCTGCTTGCTTTTTAACTCCATTAGATGAATTTTATAGATTTTTCTCTCATGAACAACCGCTGAAAACGGTAAGCTCCCTGCTAAAACACAATCTTTCTGTTTATTTGATTTTAATTAAATTGTATTTTTTTCGTATTCGTCTTTTGTTGCATCACAAGAATGATAGAAACAGTAGTTACAGTGAAAGCTTACTGCTGATGCTCCAGTTGGAAAACTAACTTTTCTGCACACCTTTTGAAAACAATCTGATTTTCCTCTAAACTTATTTGTGAGTTCTCTAAAAAAATGATGTGAAATCCCTTTGATATCAAGAAGCATCTGTGTCTCCACGTCATCATGCAGAGAAGCAAATCCAGACTTTTTCAAGCCGCTGCATGCACATCAGCATCTCTGATAATGAGAGCTATGCATTCACTTGTGTGTGGGAGAGATTGCCTGTGCTCAAGGCAAATATCCGCTCCAAGCCTTTGAGTGCAAGCATGTGCGCAAAAAGTTGAAGCCAGCTTGACGAATGCATGTGATGGGGGTGAGAGCAGCAGTTTGGTGAGAAGAGCCTGCAGAGCAAACAGTGCTTGGTCTCCCCAACTCGATGATGCTCCATCTTCTCTCTGACGTCCGTTGGTCAAACACATGAATTCCGCAGGATCTTATTGAAGATCATACCTTCTGAATAGATATTTTTAAGGAGTTTACAAGCAAAGGAAGTTTTGCTGAGCCTGAACATGGACTCATTCATGCTGATGCTTAGTTTAGTGAATGTTAAGCTGCAAAAACATTATATGTATAAACGCGGGGCTGATAATGCTGTTTTTGTGTCTGGAGTTTGACCAAAATATCTCACAAACCACTGAATATATTTCATTTAAACTCGTAAAACGTAATCACTGGATGAACATCTACAACTCATTGACTTTTGGAGTCAACCCTGTTAAAGATGGCTACCACAGGTGACAGAAAATGGCTATAACTCTATTTTTTTTAGCAATTTTTAAGCAAAGAATAGCTGTAGAAGTAGCTCAGAGTCATCGCCAACACATATTCTGAAAGCCAACAGATTGCATAAAAAGTGAGCATGTGACAGTCTTTAGAAGTTTTGACCAAAACGTTGACAACTCCTTTATTTCTCATCATAAGATGATTTTAGATGAAAACTGGTTGCGATGAGGGATTAGACTTTCTTTGAGAAATGCCTGGACTTTAAAGTGATTAGAAACCGTTTTTATTGAGTTTAGAGTCAAAGTTGTCTGATCTAAATAATACGGCTGATTGGAAACAGTTTAGTTCAGGGGTGTCAAACTCATTTTAGCTCAGGGGCCACATTGAGGGAAATCTAGTCCCAAGTGGGCCGGACCGGTAAATAAAAACAAAACTTCAGATTGTTTTCTTTGTTTTAATACAATCAATATAAAACAAGGCTGGAGCCTGAGGACAGTGTAGTACAAGTACAACACCTGAAGTGTACTTGAAAATTTGAAAAAAACAAAAAATCAATAAATTAAATAAACATTCCTTAGTGATTCAAAGAGCTTACAGATAACATGGCTAGATCAGTTTCATGCAGCACTTAAAGTATATTTGACTAATTTAACTTTACATCTTTTAGCTTTCACCAGTATATCATCAGAAGTCACAGCCTGAGTGGCAGCCAACTTCAGGATGTGATTCAAGTTCTTGTGTGAGCCTTGAGTGCAGGTTTGTTTTATTTATACTCATTACAGAGAAAACTTGCTCACAAAGATAAGTTTGTTTTCACTCGACATTGTAAAGTATGAAAATAAAGTTTACACAACCATCTTGCGGGCCGGATTTAACCCGCTTGCGGGCCGGATCCGGCCCGCGGGCCGCATATTTGACACCCCTGGTTTAGTTGCATGGATGCAAAAAGTTAAAAGAGTCAGGTATGTCATGTCAACCCAAGTATGTGTTTGTTACATTTTTAATGTATCTTTTGTCCTTGCTAATTAATTTAGTCTGATCTAATATTTATATAAAACTATAATAATATCAAATAATACAGTAATATAATATTGGCCAATAGGCTTGCTGCTAAGTAATCCAGTTTTATCATCTGGTGCATTATAGCAAAATTCTACTGTGTGGCTCATTGGTCCGAGTTTGTGAAAGAAGATGAGACCTTCTCAACAAAAAGCGACCTTTTGCATGACCTTTAGTATGACCTGTGTGCTCATACAACATTGCGTCCCCCATTTATGCATTATTCCGAAACCTTCAGGAATGCTCTGGACAAAAGAGAAAGAGGAGGCTGAGAAAACTAGGAATGATGGTTGAGAAAGGGGGAGAGGGGGGTAAACACTTTGGTCATTGAGCTGCACAGCTGTGCCAAAGTTTGTGCGGCGTCGCCTATGTTCCTCTGGTATGTGCGCGCCGTTTGTTGACTGAGAACTTTTGCAGAGATGACTTGAAGAGGCGGTAATTTTACAAGGTGTGCTTTGGGATAAAAGCTGCGTTCAGAGGGCCTGTAAATGCTTTTCACTTTCACTGACAAACCATATTGTAAGTGCATCAGTGTTTAGTGCAAGTGAGCTGCTAGAGTGGGTAGAACTTGGCAGGCGGTCTCCAGATCAGAGTGGAACCTCTGAAAATAAAAGAAACTTAGCTGTTATTTCATGATTTTCTTTCCATTTTTACGCTCAAACACATTTAGCTCAATCAATGTTTCCTCCTGGGAATAATTGTGGAATGGTCACATCTCATCACCTCCAGGTCTTACGCATGTCTTTTTCCTCGTCTGTTAGCACAAGTGTTAGAAGAAACACTAAGCAGTCCTGTGACCTCCACCTCAGTCTCCAAGTGGCTGTCTGCAGCTGAACCTTTTCAAGAGCAAAAAAGGCCAGAGAGGGCACGACAAAGGGGAAATAAAAGCTGGTGCTACAGAACAGTTATAGCTTTGTGCACGTAGGAGGATGCAGGAACAAACTTGGACAGTGAGAAAAGTCTGGAGAGATCTGGAGACACAAGGAGACTGTGCTAAAATTCCCATCCCATCCAAGGGAAAGAGGCCTGGTGAAAGAATGTGCAACACCACCAAGATGTGTGCACCCGGCTGTCACATTAATCAGCTGAAATCTGTCACTGTGTGTGTTTAAGTGCTTTCTTTTGTGCATTATTGTGTGCAAAATCAATAGAAAATCCAGGAAACCAAACATAAGTGTGTTTCTGTGAGGGATGAATGTATGTTTGTTGTCTGCATTTTTCGCCCATCCCTATCATTTTTTTCAAAGAAAAGCATTTAAAATCCCAAATCAACCAATAGGTTTCTTGAACATTAATGCAGTTTTACATCTAAAATGATATTTTATTAAGGTAAAAACATATTATCATTGATCTTTGGGAAAAATGCTATCTGTAAATTCATGTGGCTGCATATATATAGGTAAAACAGAAATGTAGTGAATTTTAGTTTGACATTTTGTCATTTTAATACCATTCTTTCATCACGCACTTGTCAAAATATTGCAGGTTTTCATGATTTTAGGGACTTAAGTGTTTTGATAGACTGCCATGTTCAACATTTGACCTTCGTTTAGTAATATAATACATTAGTGGAGGAATTTGAACTGAAAACTGTGATTGCAGTGAAACAGTTTGCATACTCTGGGGTTTTATTTATTTATTTATTTATGTACTTACTGTAAGCAGAGCATGATTAGAGCTTAGTGATGCTTAGGGACCAGAAAATAGCTGGTCTTGGCAGATGCTGTAGCTTTAAAATGTAGTTGTTGCAGTTGGATTCTCAGGTGCCACGAGGCGGTCATAAAAGTGCAAACATGCATTCATGTAGTAGAAGCTAACGTTTGCATTGCACTAAGGACTTCTTGCAAACATTTATGTTGTTAAATTGTTTTGGAGCTGGTAACTGCTTTGAAAGTATACTTAGCTAAATCAGTCAAAACACTTGTTTATATACCAGGTTAGCATGCTAGTTGAGGAGTGCAACAGTTGGGTTTACGGTTAAATCTAATTATTTTACCTTCTGCTTCCACATCCTCCAGTTTTAAAGCACATAAGCAATCTGCTGAGAGATTTTTTTTACTTGATGATTCGAAATATCTAAAGTTATGCAATGGATTTGCTTGCAGCATGTTGACATACTGTCAAACTAAACGCATTTTACTAAAAGCATCTGGGTATCGGAGTCTTTCAGAATTACCATTAACCAACTGAATTTCAAGATTTTTCTAAGTAAACTCTCCTAACTAAACGTTCTAACTGAGGTTTCAAATGTCAAGTTATTTTACACAAAAATAGCATTCTTTCATTTCATTTCATTTTTGTTTTATGTTTGAAACTTTATGTTTAACTGTTTTTTTTAACCTGTCCTGTTTTGTTGAAGCAAACAAAATGGTCGTGCCATGGTGTAGGACTTTTATTCAACCACAAGGAAAGGTGTGAGGCAATTTGTCTGGTGTGCAATTCCCTGGATTCTCATGCCCGTTCTCTTGTTTGCTCTTCCTTCTTCCATCTCAGGAGCATTGCTAAGCTGAGTCCATCTCAAACACACCCACATCACCCCACTACTCCTCCAGCTTCACTGGCTGCCAGTCTACTTCAGGGTTCATTTCAACATCCTGGTTCTGGTCTTTAGGACCTTACATGGACAAGCACCATCTCTGGTTGTGCAGCGCACCAGGCTAAAGACCATAGGTAGCAGATCATTTGCTGCTGTGGCCCACAGACTCTGGAACTCTCTCCCCCTGAGCCTGAGATCAGTGGACTCAGTGGTCTCCTTTAAAAAACAGCTGAAGACACCTGTTCAAGCTGGGGTTTGCATGACCTTCATCATCACCCTTTCCTCATTCAGCTATTTTTACCCATTCCGCCTTTCCGGGATCCACTGATGTGATAATAATAATAATACACTGAACTTATATAGCGCTTGTGTAGGACACTCAAAGACACTCGCATGCACTCTCACATTCACACACTGCTAGTGATGGTAAGCTGCTTTGTAGCCACAGCTGCCCTGGGGTGGTCTGACAGAGGCGAGGCTGCCATTTGGTGCCTTCTGCCCCTCTGACCACCACTAACACAGGCAAGTTGGGTGAAGTGTCTTGCCCAAGGACACAACGGCAGAATACCCCTGGCGGGAGCTGGAATGAAACCCATGACCCTCCGATCATGAGGCAACCTGCTCTACCACCTGAGCTACTGCTGCCCACAACAGTGATTTCCCTCTTTCTTATTCATTTTCCCTTTCCCTTTCTTCACATTTTTAACCACATTTTTTCTCATTTCTATGATACTTTTATTTATTTTTTTAATCTTTATTTTTTTTATTTTTGTTCTTGTTCTTGTGAAGCACCTACTGATTTTTAGCTTGAGAAGTGCTAAATAAAAGATTGTTTTATTTATTTCCTTCTTTGATTTTATTGTTTTTATGGCACCATAAAGAGAGAAAGAAAGAGAGAGAGAGGGGGGGGGGGAGAGAGAACATTTAGATTGAAATTCATTGAAGGAAAAACATATATTTGTCACACTTCAGAGACTCTCCCTTTGCTTTTATTTCATTATAGGGTAGGAGACACAAAATACATATTCACATTGCATTTAAGCAAGAATTTCAAAATAAAAGTCAAAATATCAACCTTATAATAGCCAATTTACTGTGCCAGCTTTTGTTAATGTTTCTGCCACATTGCTTCTGCAGATGTTTGGTTTTTAAAAGGTCAGATACACCAGTGCTTAAAAAACAAGCATTCAAATAAAGAGAGAAAGAACTCACAACATGTCAATCTGACACTATGTAGCTCTGATTTATGGATATGTGCCATCTGTGTTGACCCATGAGCACCTGAACATAACTTCACTCTATATAATAAGATCATGTTACCTTTGTTATGAAACTGGTTTTTAAGATTAACTCTGAAACACGAGGGGTTTAAGTATGTTTTTTTTTCTATTTTATTTATAAAGCATGAACCAAGGGCTGTCCATTAATATAACACATACGGTATGTCCGAAACACATAAAAGCAAGTCCGAGCCATAGCAAACCACGTCACTGCAACATTAAAAGCCAAAGAATAAAAGTGAGTCTTTAAACGAGACTTAAAAATGGGGAGGGTGCCTGTCTGACCTTTTTGTCTGTGGTCAGAAGGTGATACTCGTTTGTGAATGAGGCAGCAAGCAGGGAATCCTTACATACAACAATGTGTCTGGCCACACATACAACAATGTGTCTGGCCACATCAGTCTCCTGGCAATAGAAACTCTTCTTTAGTTTTGATTTTATATGGAATATGCCCATACTTGGTGGACTCACTCATCTGCAGCTGCAGATTTTGTCAGAGCTTATTTTTATTCACACACACACACACACACACATGAACACATTCCAAATTTGCACTGGAGCATGTGTACAATGCAACAACACTATAAATGTCAATTATGTAGAAAAATTGTAGTATGTAGCTAGAACCAACAAGACAACTGAGAAGAGGAATCCAACACTATTGCAAACATTAACATTTTTCAGACATTTTCGTACTTTCCATGCTTTCTCACTGGCGTGCACATACATAGACGTTTTAGATTTTTTTTCTATCAAGTTGGCAGACTTTGTCGATTTTTTTAACTACTCTTGACCAATAGATCTTTATACCTCCTGAAGATCGCTGAGATATTTAGGGGGACTTTTGAGTTAGTAAAACATCAAGAAAAAGGAGCTTTCTTTAGCTCTTTTTTCTTCCCATTTGAGTGAAAATTTGTTTAGTTATTGTTTATTTGAATTAATCGTTAGAGGCACCATTTCCATGCCAGTCATGCAGAAATTTCTTCCTTCAATAGCAACAGTTTGGATTTTTTCTACCATTTGACCTTTTTCTCAGAGCTCTGGTGATTTTAACATGGCTATGTCACTGTCTCCTCCAATGAGAACCAGCCTTTGAAGAAAGTCCACCTAGTTTTGATGTTGATGACAGCTAAACATACGAAACAAATAGTGGTGGCTATTTTCAACTTGTATTAGAACCTGTTGTGATTTTCCACTCAGAAGCTGTAATTTCGTATTCCCTGCAAACGTATGGACCACTGATGTCTTCAGACTTTATGTAGAGGTATGGGAAGGTAATAAAGCAATGGCTAAAGTGTGTGACATTGTATGCTGGTCTGCTGAATACTATGCATGACTAATTTTGAAGCAATGTATTGTGAATACAGAGACACAGAAAATAAATGAGGAAAACTGAGAACCTTGAAAATATTCAAAAAATGCATCCATTTACAGGCCTAGAAATCTAAACAGATCATAGCAGGGGCAAAAGGATTTGGCTCTGTAGGTTGGTATAGCAGCTCTCCATAGCTTCAGCAGCCCCAACTGTCTCTTGCCTATCACAATCAATCAATCAATCAATCAATCAAAGCTTTTTCTATAAAGCGCCTTCCCTGTCGGGAAGCCCAAGGCGCTCTATCAGTTTAGCGGGCCAATCACAGCACTCTATCTGTTTGGTAGGCCAATCACAGCGCTCTATCGGTTTGGTGGGCCAATCACAGCGCTCTATCAGTTTGGTGGGCTAATCACAGCGCTCTATCGGTTTGGTGGGCCAATCACAGCGCTCTGTCAGTTTGGTGGGTGGGATATCACTATGACTGAGTGAAACAACAAAGATGGCAGCAGCCCCTCTGAAATGGCTTTGGCCTCATCTTTTGACCATTGTATTTAGACTTGGTCTTTTCTTTGAGTCAAGAGTATAGGTACTTAAGTCCCTTATCTCCTGTAACAGGAGCAACCCGGAAATTTTTTTGTAACCACTGAACCCATGAAACTACTCACTCATACAGGTGGACTCTATACTATAGTTCTCTTCCTAAATCTCTCTGCACTCAACTGGACAGTGCTAGAATCAATCAGAGCAATGAACAACGTGATGTATTTACCAATACGGATGTCAGTCAACGGGGCAGTCTGCCATACACCGTCGAAGCAAACACATATTTTTTTTTAATTAATGACTCACGTACCTCTATCTGCTCATGTCTCAAAGAAAAGCACAAGTCTAAATAGATCCAAGCTGATAAACGAGTGTCGTTCCTGAGCTTTGTTGTCTTTCTCCGTAGCAGCTCTAACGGTAAGCCCCCCCCCAACAAAAGTAGAGTGCTGTGATAAGCCAGACACAAAACTGTTAAGGCCAATCTCCATTGCAGCTGTATGCCCTCCCAACAAATGTAGAGTGCTGTGACTGGCCAGACACAAAACTGTTTGGGCCCATGGTAGATCTGTTGAGGCTACAATGGAGCTTGGCAAGACCAACCTGCAGAGCAAAACCTTTTTGCTGTTGTTACTGTTGTCTAGAATCCTAGGTAAAGAATGCTAGAGGCTAAAGTTGAGCAAACAAAGTTTATGGACAATTAGAAGCAAATAGTCAGCTAAAAATAAACTCTCAAGCTACTTTTTCAATTGTCAAAAACTTGATATTGAATTTATCTACTGATCAACTTACTGCTTATGACTCGTCTACACTGGTCATCTAAAATGGTATGATGTTGATCCGTTGCTGGAAAAGTCATGAGACTTACGGAGCAGAAGTGAGAATGTCAAGCAAATTTGACCCCAGGATGTAATTCTTACTTCTTTCTTACATAATGCACCTTTAAATTTACAGACTGACATCAATTCAGTGGAGGTCAAATTGGCATTCAAGCTGATTGGTGTGCTAAGCTGGGGACTGGAGCTCATTCATGTTGATTAACGGATCCCCGTTGTGGATATACAAATATATAATATATAATTTGTGAATTATTATCTTCTTTATTTTATATATCAGGTTCAAATAGCCCAATTTAAGTTTTTTAAGGTTACTTTAATAGTATTGAACTGTGTACCACAGCTTAATAGAGTGTGTTCAGAATGTGATAATAGATAGAACCACAAAGTTAGCACAAAAACAATATTTATCCTTTTGATCTTATATTATTCACCTCTGTGCCCCAGGGCAGCTGTAGCTACATCGTAGCTCATCCCCACCAGCATGTGAATGTGTGTGTGAATGGGTGAAAGACTAATTGTGTTGTGAAGCGCCTTGGGGAGTTGTAGAACCCTAAGAAGGTGTTATAGAAATACATAGGCCATTATTTATTCTTACATGAGGAATTATAGAATTTATTATCCTTAAAGAAAAAATGCAACAGTTTAAATAAAATGAATTATATTCTTATTTTAGTACTCTTTCTTTCTTTCTTTCTTTCTTTCTTTCTTTCTTTCCTAATGAATCAAAGGATCTAAAATCTACTAATCTACAATCATTAAAGTGACAGACTTGAGGACTAAAGTGTTGAATAAAAAATGTAGAAGCCTTGCAAATGTTGAATCTTAGACATGATGGACTTATGGAAAATCATTGTTTACATGTTGGTGATGTAGTTTTCATTTTCAGCTTTCTTATCATTTATACTGCTTCAAGTGTTGACTGCAAATTTCATCTAACATTTTGCTAATTAAATTACACAGTCGCAGCTTTGATGTGTTTACTTTTCTATACAGGTTTTGGACATGTCTCTCCTCCCCGTTTCCTTCATCTGTATTCTGCTTCAACTAATCATACTCACTTATGCAAGTGGTGGAGCATACTATGGACACAAGCCACACCCTCAGCCATATCAGCAAATGCAGCACCTTCAGCACATCGGCATGGGCGAAGGAGGATTCCCTCAGCAACAGTACCTTGGCAAAGAAGTGCCCTATATGCGGTATCCACAATACAGAAAGGAGCTCCCACAGATCCCGCTTCTGAAAGGCAAAGAGAATCCTCGTAAGGGGGTCAGCAACAATGGTGGCCATGATAAAGGTTAGACAGTTATGATTTTTTTGACAGAATTTAATCACCAATGTCAGCACCCATTTTTACGTTCAAATACTGGACACCAGGAAGCCATAACATGATATCTGAAATGAAAAGACTGCTTTCTCTAACTCAATTTTCTGCAAAAGAAAATATTATGCTGGTATTCATGTGATCAAAGCCTAGAAATCCAGACACACCTCAGCAGTAAATAAAGATTTAGCTCCACAGGTCGGTCTAGCCATGCTCCATTGTAACCTCAGCAGGTCTGCCATTGGACCAAAGAATTCTGTGTTTAGCCAATCACAGATCTCTATATTTGTAGATGGATGTTAGGTGGGCTTGGCACCAGAGCTGTGACAGAAAAAAACCAACACACTCTCACACCCAAGGCGTCAAAATATGATGCGTGTGACCAGTTCTCAATATATGACGATTCGGGATGCCCCAGCACGTCAGGAGACGACGATCAGGGACAAACTGCTGACGCAGCGTCCCAGAGCATCGGTATCCGACGCTGGTGCTGAGACGGACAATAAAACTACTTGTGAACTACTTAACCTTCCCCTCACCCCAATCCTAACCTTAAGGTCACAGTTTATGGACCTTAAGGTTAGGATTGGGGTGAGGGGAAGGTTAAATAGTCGAATAATGTCCGTGTGACTGCGTGCGTCAAACAGTGACGCCAGCGGAGCCGCGTGTCCCAGCGTGTCCCTGATTGTCGTCTCCTGACGCGCTGGGGCGTCCCAAATTGTCATATATTGAGGCTTGGTCACACGCGTCATAATTTGACGCCTTGGGTGTGAGAATGTGTTGGAAAAACTACAAAGATGACACTAGCTCAGGAACGGTGTTCATTTGTAACAGCTTTGGCATCAATTTTGGATGATTTAGACTTGTTTTATTTATTTATTTTTTTGGCTTTTTCCCATCTGGTTTGGCCATGTCCGGTCTTGGTTGGGTCCGCCTTCCTTCCTGCAGCCAGGTTTTGTTCACACCATGATGGCTGTGGTTCACACAGCCTACTCAAGAGTACAGATGTTTCCAAGCATGAGGGTGGGGCGAAAGGCATGCAGCAAAGTCTGTGGTGTTCTCCCTAAGTTGGTAAATGAAAGCAACCCTGAGCAGTGTTACTTTTGGAGATTCTGACATGAAGCACACAGCTTCCTACTGTCTCACTGAGCAGTGGTGCTGCACAGCAGTCTGCCCTCAAGCTGCGTGTCACACGTCCACTCACACCCAGATATTCCAAAAATGAGAAAGAGGTGGAGCTGAGGGTGACGGTTGGAACAAATGAACAAATGTAACGACTTAGTTAACCCAAGAAGTTAAGAAGGGCTCCGGGTACCGGGGTAGCCCACCCACATGGCAGACTGGCTTCCATGCAAAGCTGTAGTCATGCTGGTTGCCAGTGGAGATCTAATATGGACCGGGACTGTTAAATTACAAGCGGAGCCTCAGACCGCTGCGATTGTAGCTTTTGCATCAGCTCTTGCTCCATGGTTGGAGATCAGCGGAACATTGGCTACACGCTAACTCATAGCTAACCGAGTTTTTCCGGGCGTTTTTAGCAAGGACAATGCGGTAGAGCGACTCCAAAGTGAAGGCACCTCAGGCCTGCTCAGCAACAACATCATAACTAGGTAAGCTGACTGAGGATATCGGGCTTCGCTGGTCCACCACGGTCAAAGATCCAGAAGTCTGCCACTGTGTCAACACCTCATGGAGCCAAGAGTCGAGTTGACAACAGCGGACTCACAGAATTTCCCCCCATTCAACCAGCAAACTATTAGCGAGAAAAATGCGGTTGAGCAACTCAAAAGTGAAGCAGTGTCAACAAAAAGATGTGCAGTGTTTCTGTGGTCTCCCTCAGAGATTTACAAGTGACCAGCATGACTATAGCCTCGTATCAGTGCCCCGGGAACAGCCAGCCGCCTGTTCCAGCAGCTGTTCTCGGGCAGAAGACAGGAGAAGCTAGGCACCCGCTCAAGGTTCTTATGCAGCCCTACTAACATGTTTGACCAAGCAGTAAAATGAAACAGCATTTCCTTCCATTTAACCAGCAAAATAAAGTACAGAAATATAAATTTACTTACTGATAAAAAGAAGCAGAGGCTCCCATTAGGAGGTGAAGTTCAGCTGGCCAATCAGTTCGTAGAGGGTGTTGGGTTGGCTGAGCATGAAGCGGACTGCCGGAGAGCAGGTTCGGAAAGAACGGTCAGCTGAGAACGTAAAACACAAAAATTATCCAGATATGAATGTATTTAACCTGCAATTGCTAAGTCAGCCTACCCAGATGTGAATGTGCCATTTGAGACAAGAGCAAATAGAGGTACTTAAGTCCTTAATTTAAAAATAAATATGTCTTTGCTTCTTTTTCTTCTTGTTCCTCTTCTTCAACGGTGCGTGAGGGACTGCCCCACTGACTGATTTCCATAGTGATGACTACGTTGCATTATTTATTGCTTTGATTGGACCTAGAACTCTCATATGCATGCAGGGACAGTTTGAAAGGCAACCGTTGATTCCGCCCCATGACCAGACTATATATTTACATATATAGGATGACTCGCCAAGCTAATATGGCAACCAGACACACCAGAATTCTTGCAGTTGGCCTTTGTTTTCACACTTTGATTGGTGAAAATAATTTTGGTCAGAAAGTGTCATAATTTCATGACTGATCTTTACATGTCTCTACTTAGTACACAAATGTGTGTGGCTTATTTTAGGGGTCTCAGAGCTAGCTGCCTATTGATTACTTGCGAATATTTATTTTAAGAAAGATTTTCAATCTCTTTTTCAACAGGTTTAACAATCCCCAGTGCTGTAGAGGGAATCCCCCAAGGAGAACCAGGCCCAATTGGACCACCAGGACCAGAGGGACCTCCAGGACCTCCTGGACCCCCAGGGAATGGACAGCCAGGCCAAGCAGGTGAACCAGGACCTCAAGGTCCACCTGGGTTACCTGGTTTAGGGAAACCTGGTTTGCCAGGGTTGCCAGGAAAACTTGGAGGAATTGGTGTACCTGGACCACCAGGCAAAATTGGTCCAAGGGGTGAAGAAGGGCCAGACGGACAGCCTGGGTCTCAAGGTCCTCCAGGACCCCCAGGACTTCCAGGAATGGGTAAACCAGGAATACGGGGATTACCTGGCCAACCAGGATTTAAAGGAGAACCAGGTCATAAGGGTTTACCAGGGCTTCCAGGATTGCCAGGACCTAAAGGAGACAAAGGAATGGGACTCCCTGGACAACCTGGACAGAAAGGGCTACCTGGGCTTCCTGGACCTGCTGGTCCAAGAGGGTTGCCTGGTTTTGGGAAACCAGGGTTGAATGGGTCACCAGGTCCACAAGGACCACCAGGAGTTAAGGGATATCCTGGAGAAACAGGGCCCCCAGGGCCAGCTGGGAAGGAAGGAAAGCCTGGCCCACCAGGGCTACCTGGTCAAGGAAAGCCAGGTCCAAATGGTCTACCAGGACAGTCAGGGATACCTGGGGAGAAAGGTCATATAGGACCACCTGGATTGCCAGGAAAACCAGGACTGCCGGGATTTGGTAAACCAGGAGTCTTAGGGCCAAAGGGTGAGAAAGGGGTAGATGGACTCCCTGGACCTCTGGGAGCTAAAGGAGATAAAGGTAATGATGGGATACCAGGCATGCTTGGACCCCCTGGATCAAATGGTCCACCAGGCCCCCCGGGATCTGTGGGACCTCCTGGAAGTAAAGGTGTACCTGGTCCCAAAGGAGAGCGTGGAGATGAAGGACCTAAAGGAATTAATGGGGTTAAGGGTGAACTTGGTCTTCCAGGACCTCCTGGTAGGAATGGTTTGCCTGGAGACAGTGGAGAGCCAGGACCAAGAGGTTCACAAGGATTAAGTGGTCCCAAAGGAGCTGATGGACAGAAAGGCCTACCTGGAATGCCTGGACCCCCAGGGGCTCCTGGGCCTAGAGGACAAAGTGGATTACCAGGTGAAATAGGACCTCAAGGCCCCAATGGAATCCCTGGGCTGGATGGCACAGCTGGATCTATTGGACCTCCTGGTCCTTCTGGGCCTAAAGGGGAAAGGGGTCTTCCTGGTCCACCAGGAATTGCTGAGAATGGGAGTCCAGGCCTACCTGGTCCTGTTGGACCCCCAGGAAGAGAAGGCCCATCAGGACCTCCTGGACAGCCTGGACAGCCAGGGCTTCCTGGTCCACCAGGGCCACCGGGGGGTTCTGGTTATTCTCCAGAAATGGCTGGAGTGCTTTCTCAGATGGGTCCAGGACTAGATGGTGTTAAGGCTGGAGGCTACAGTAAGAAAAGCAAGTATGGTGAAAATGGTGCAGAAGTGATGGGTTCAAGTGGGCTGGAAATGCCAGCCTTCACAGCCTTAGCAACAACCCCCTTTCCACCTGTGGGAACTCCAATTGTGTTTGACAAGCTTTTATACAATGGTCGGCAAAACTACAATCCAGACACTGGAATTTTCACCTGCGACTTGCCTGGCATTTATTACTTTGCATACCACATTCAGTGCAAAGGAGCTAATGTGTGGGTGGCATTAATGAGAAACAATGAACCAGTGATGTACACATATGATGAATACAAAAAGGGTTACTTAGATCAAGCATCAGGAAGTGCAGTCTTACCTCTACAACCTGGGGACACAGTTTATATTCAAATGCCATCAGACCAGGCCTCTGGACTTTATGCCGGGCAATATGTACACTCATCCTTCTCAGGTTATATTTTATATCCAATGTAAAACAACACATTTAATTTGTAGAAAATCTTCAGTGAGAAGAATGAGATTGAGCTTGTTTTTGAATGAGTAGTGATTACACATGATTTCAGACTGAGCGTTATTCAGTTTATAAATGAGTTTATCGTCACAGATGAATGGACATGATTTATATGCCATGTAGTCATTTCAAAATGGGAGAATAGAGTTATGTTTTACACCAAGAAAAATGTCAAACCCATCCACATCCATCAACTGAATTAAACCCAAATATTAAGTGAAATGGTTTCAGATGTATTGTTGTACTCAAAGGTGCCAGGGAAATCTTTGGGAAGCCATTTTATTTGTTTATATAAAAACACGAGGGGAGTTTCTAAAATTTTTCATTTGTAAAAAGAAATATGGAATGAAAACCCTGAGGATGCTTGTTACGTTGTTGAAATATTGTCAATTTTAGTTCCTGTAATTCTTTAAAAAATGGCAACTAAGCAATGCATGCTAGCAATTGTTTATTTTTGAAGGAAATTATCAAGGATGTTTGCATGCACCTCCAAAATTAACAGTGCAGATCCTTTTGAGGTTTGGATCACAGCAGTTTGTACATAGCTTATTTTACTTTGAAAAGGTAAAGACAATTAAAGTTTTGTATCATGCAAATGGCTGAGGTTTTAGAAATTTATATTCTATTTTTACTTTTCAGTGGATTTAAGGAAAGAAAATGCAATGATTTTGATGTACATAAGCAAAAGTGTATAAATTCGGGGGGGGGGGGTGACAGTACGGTTGTTTTGCATTCTTTTTATATTTAGAAGCATATAAACAATATAACTTGTGCAAGCATGTTGCCAACTGACTGTTTCTTAGGATTAATTTTAAACAAATTTGTAATGTTATTTTCGTGGTTTAATGTATGCTGATGATTTTATACTGTTGTTAAGAAAAAAATGTGCAAATAATCAAAAGGGTTTTCGAACTAGACTCAGTATTGCTCTAATAACAAACACGCAGTGGAGTGAATTAAACAGTAATGAAAATCTATACAATCAGAAGAATGCTTCCGACATGGACACTGTTACACAAAAACGACTTACATTTCAGAATTTTCAACACAAACAAACAGTAGTGTTTATGTCGATAATACTGCTAGATTCCTTCCTTTCTAAGTTAATGTTATTTCAGTTGTTTCATTTGTTTCATTTAATTTTAAAGTCAATTGATAATAAAAATAATCACTTTTCACTTCTGTCATTCTTTTTCATTTAACGTTTATATAACACACCATGGCAATTTTATATAATAATAATAATAATAATAATAATTATTATTATTATTATTATTATTATTATTATTATTAATCTTTGTTGAAACTTTAGTACTGAAGGCTTGATTGATTCACCTCTTCAAACCAAAGCGTCAGATGTGTGAGCAGAGATGCTGATGCTGCGATCGGGCAGTGCGCATGCGCCAAGGTCTCAGCAAGAATCGTTGATCATAATCCGTGTTTAAACGACGTGCAGAAGTAAGCAGTCATACAGCGGTAAGACAAATTCTTCGTCTCTCCCGAGTTTGGTGTCGTTACTGATGCTAAAGCGGCTCTAGACCAGCAAATGTCAGTTCCAAGAAAACGCTGCTGTTTAGCAGGAAGTAGCAGCTAATTTGCTAGCTTGCTTCAAAGCAGGTCAATCCATCCGCCTGGGATTTCTTGTACATGATATATAAAGATGTGGCTTGGCAACAGTCATTCTTAATGATGCAGAACTGTTGAAAATGAATATGTATTACCCATGGACTCATATACAAAATGTGGGATGTGTGGAGAAAACGTAGACATTACATGATTCCAGTTGTTTCAGATGTGGATGGGTAAATTGGTCCATTAAGCATCCATAACAGCCTCTTTAAAATTTTGGAGATTAAATTATTGGAATATAATCAAATCCACGTATTTTTATAAAATTGAAATTTTGAAGATGAATTGAGATGAACCTGTTGTGTCAAGTCCTTTTTTTTTTTTTTTTTTTTTTTTTTGCAGAATTTTCTCAACATGACCTCTCGCGCTGGCCTCAGAAGTACCGGTACTAATGGAAGTGACTTTAAACCTAGAGAGAGGGTTGTCCCACATTACCAGATGAGGCTAGTGCTCTTCTCCATATCTGTTATTGATTAATAAATGTAATATGTGTCTCTAACAGTCTGAGGGTCTTTTGTCTTCTTTTCAGTGCTTCTCTGAAGTCTGAGGTGCGGAAGCTGAACTTGGTCCACCTTCTGATCTGGCTGCTGGTGGCGTCCCAAGTGATTGTGAGCCACTTCAACCTGGTGTCACATGACACAGTGTCTGTACCATACCAATGGGAGTACCCCTACCTGCTCAGCCTCCTCCCACTGCTCTGCAGCAGCCTATCACTACCAAAAAACAACATCAGCTACCTGGTTTTATCCATGATAAGTGCTGGGCTGTTCTCTATTGCACCTCTTATTTATGGAGGAATGGAGATGTTTCCCGTAGCACAGCAGCTCTACCGCCACGGAAAAGCCTACCGCTTCATTTTTGGCTTCTCAGCAGTCACCATTATGTACCTCATCATGGTGGTGGCTATTCAAGTGCATGCATGGCAGCTATATTACATGAAGAGTCTGCTAGACTCATGGTTCAACACCACGCAAGAAAAAAAGAAGAAATAATTAAATTAAAATATTTGTGATTAGGCAAAAATATCTGGTATATTTTAGCTGTGTTATTTTGAGGTCTGTTTTATTTTTATGACATAACATAAGTCTTTTGGTTTTATTGTTTTCCAACACCAAGTTTTTAATGAAGTATAATTCAATTTGAAAAATTGTATTCTCTGTTCAACTCTTATTATTTCCTGATACTAAATATAAGGCATTAAAATGGTTTGGGTTATGTTTTATTTTTTATGAAGATTATCGTTATTATAAGTTCTCACCTAGCACAATACAACTAGTTCACTGTGGTAAGGAGTAAAAAAGCAAATGTGGGAAACCAAAAATAAATTCCAATGTTTTTATTTCATTTTATTTATTTATTTATTTTTGCATGTGCAGGAACCTTGATGTTTGACTAATTTTAATTATGAAACATAATAAAACAGCACTGTTCAATAATTATATGTTTAGCATCACTTGATTATATTTTGTTTACAGCTTTGTCAAATAACAGTGAAGTAATACAACTTTGTAAACGTAGATGTGTATATACCAGAATGTTTTGCATTGGTAACATGATTTCATTAACTATAAATATAAAATATGCTTAGTAGTAATAAAAAATGGGTTACTTTAGGCAGTGTTTTGATTTTCTTTGTCTATAATTTTACAATATTGAGAAATGACTTCTTTTATTATGAAATTGCCTAATAAACAGATAGTATTCTATGTGGAAAAAATACGTTTACGTTAACATCCATGCCTGTGAACATAAATAATGACTTCATGCTTTGTAATGTTCCAATTTTAGGGTGGCACACTTTGCTGCCGTCTGCGCCTGCGCGTAAAGAGTGCCACGTACTGTTGACGTTGACTATCCGGAGAACACTTCCTGGGTCTAGCTAGGCTGGCTAAATATATCAAGTAATTTTCACGCTTTGGTGAGGCTTGTTAGGTACTGCGTGGTTAAGTCGTCTGATTCAGGTAAAATCCGCTATTTGATTCAGAGTTTCGCTGTAATATAATTGAGACCTAAGCACACGGGAATGTGTGTGTCATGATTGCATGTTCGCTGTGAAGCTATGTGGTTAGCGCTAACTGGCTAGTGCTAGCTCTGAGCTAACGTCACTTTAACGCCACTTAACTTTTTTCCAAGCAGCTTTTTAAGACTGTTTCGTAGAAAGTTATATTGTAAAAGAGTGAGACGTTCTTAGCAGGGTGAGGCTGGCACACTTGTACAAGTGGCATATACGGTCTTTCTTTAGCTTTGTTTTTTTCCAAATGTAGCTTGTCAGGAAATCACTGTTTACGGATTCGGTGATTTAAAATCAAGTAAAAATTGTCTGTTTTAGTGTAATATTCAAATGATGTGACATAAAAGTATAGTGTTGCTGTTTTTTTTTTTTTACTTTGCTTGTGTGATTTATATTGTGATTGTTGACATGTCAGTCTGTAAGTGGCCCGTCAAAACTTCAGCTGTCCGTGAATTCTGTGTCTAGCACTCAGCCAGCACCACCCCAATTACAGCCCTCTTACATTTGTCATTTGATTCTCATCTAGTACCCCTCTCCCGGTAGAAACCAGCTTTTTTTTTTTTGTTTACCAGTTTATGCTGCTGTGTACTAAACGTTAGCTACAACACAATCCCTAGCATCTAGCTAATTACCCATCTGGCCATGACTGCTAAAGCCGCAACATTTCTGGAATTCAATTCACAATGGGATTTTGTTCAGCCCACTGTATCAGCTGGCGACCACACATTAGCAATAAGTGACAGATTAATCAATCACGAACAGTGAAGTTTTGTTTAATGTAACATTTTATTTATATATTAGCAAATTTTTGGAATCACCGCAAAGTTAGGTGTCATAACTTCCACATTCATAAAAATGGCCATCAGTATTTTTTTCCCTATATTATTGAGTTTTGTTTTCAAATTTGAATTAACAGCAGGCAATCCTTTATAATTTGACTTCAACACAGCTGTGGTGATGCTGAATTGACCTCTAAAATCACAACTCTCATGGAAATGCATAATCAAGTGCCAGCTGTTTAAATTATTAAACATTTTATGAGTACCACTTATGAAAATGCCAATATCACATAGTACCACCTGTTTTCACAGACAATTGCAAAAATGTAATTGCAAGTTTTAGCTGTAATTTGCCCATTTTACATCACAGTTCAGTTTACAATCTCATATTTGACACAAATGGGCAAACATAACCCTTAATCCCATTGAAGTGTGCAGGTTTAATTTGATCATACTTTCACAAACCATAAGCTTTTTTCTAACCCATATGAAATGACACATTTGAAATCAGTCAGATTTCCTCACTGTATCTGTTGCTCACAAGTCCTACAAACGCCTCAGTTTGAGAATCGTGATCTAAGAAATCAGTTGCTGATAGTGAATTTTGACAACTTGGAAATGGTTTAATTTCAGCAGACATTTCAAACGGTTCTAATAATGGTGCTAAATTACTTTTTGGTACTAGACCAGTAAAAGGCTTCTCTTATCAAAGTGGTTCAGATTTATCTAAGTCAACAAGAAGGTTTGTAATCACTTAAGTGTGTTTGCCACATCACTGAGTAGTGTTTGACCCTTAGACTATGCAGATCCTAAGGTCGGTTTGTTCAGCAGGAGGCTGAGTTACAGCAGAAATGGCTCATTTTCAATGCAGTTGTAGTTTATTTGAATCAAACATACTTCCTATAGCATCCAACCATTTCTGGTATATGGCTAAATTAGAACTATTGATGTTCAGTGGAAAAAAAGAGCTTTAATAAAAGCAACTTACTTGTTTTTAATACTGCATCTCTTTTTGGACCAAGTGGTGGAGCCTTAGAGGTCAGACGGCAACATGAACGGCCAGCTGGACTTGAGTGGGAAGCTGATCATCAAAGCCCAGCTGGGCGATGACATTAGACGCATCCCTATTCACAACGAAGACATAACATATGATGAACTGGTGCTGATGATGCAGCGTGTCTTCCGAGGCAAGCTGCAGAGTAACGACGAGGTCACCATCAAATACAAGGATGAAGGTGAGTCAGGACACAGCTCAGGTGCCCGGGTTTCCCCTACTCTAATTACTTAAGAGTAAAATAATTGTAATATAAATTTCACCTGGTCTTTGTTTTTCCTTTGTCAGATGATGACCTCATCACTATTTTTGACAGCTCTGACCTCTCCTTTGCAATCCAATGCAGTAGAATACTCAAACTGACATTATTTGGTAAGACTTTGCGCTTGCTCTCCATGCCTCTGTCACATACTTTAAGCCTGAGTGGATTTGAATGGTCTGCAGATACATCAGCCAGCCACTAGAGGACAGTCTAGCTTATGTTTCACAAAACAAACCTCTGAATAAATGAACTCTGCTGATCTCCAATCACTAACCTTTGGTGGAGCTTCTGTGTCTCTGTGGTTGAGCAAACAAATAATGATTATAGAGGTTCGTAGTGCTGTTCATGCCTAAAGTTAAATGTTTATTAATTCTTGTCCCAATTTTTATTGAACAAAAGTCTTGAAAGTTGTTTAAGTTCTTGTTTCTCAGAGAGAAGAAAACTGGTAGCAAAGAGATGATTCCTAATTCTATATAAAGCTTCAAAAGGACCAATAAAACTGAAACTATCTTCAGATGTCATAGAACAAAGTCTTAATTTTCCTTGGGGTTAAGGACTAAATAACAAACAGAATTTTCAGAGATGCTAGACTAGGATTAAGCTCTTTTCCAAGCTGTATTTCTAATCTGATCCTTCTCTCTGCTTTGTGATGTTGGCAGTGAACGGTCAGCCACGGCCTTTGGAATCCAGTCAGGTGAAGTACCTACGCAGAGAGCTTATAGAGCTCAGGAATAAAGTTAACAACCTCCTTGACAGCCTGGAGCCCCCCTTAGAGCCTGGTATGACTTCTACGGCACCAGAAAGTGGTAAGCACCTGTTCATGCTTGGTATCTGAACATATGAAGATATTCCTTATTTCTTCTAAAATTGCAGTCATTCCATCTGCACCTGTGGGTACAGTTGTTTTAATAAAAGCATTCATGTGTCCAGCAAGAGGGTGTGGTTTTATTATTATTCTTTTGTGCTTCTGTTTTGCTCTTATTCTTACTAAAATGAAAATTTTGACCTCCTTAAATCATGTTTTTTTTATATTTGACAGCCAAGTGAGACAGTTTATATTTGTTGGTCACTGATGGAACAATTAAGTACCATTTTTATAGAATATTTGCCTGAATCAAAGCACTGATTTTGCAACAGGCCAGTTCTGTCTGGTTTGCTTGCGGTCTAACCTGCCCACAGCTGTGCATGACATCAGGAAGGAGCTCTTTTCAGATTGCACTGATATTCAAAGCTTTATACTTGAGATACTTGAATAAAATACAGTAAAATCAAAGCAAAGTGATTGATGCAAGCGTGTATTTCCCCCTTTTATAAGTGAATGTTTACTTCAACTTGATGCATTTTTAGAGTCGGTAGATGGACGCGATGGTAAAGTTGCAGCTCCAGACTCCACAGTTAAACAGGCTCCTCCAGTCAGCGCAGCCAGCATGTCGGCCTTTGACCCATTAAAGAACCAGGACGAGGTCAACAAGAATGTAATTTCTTCTTTTGGTCTAAGTGAGGACCAAGCTTCAGGTATTCCACATTGTGTAAATGCAGATAAGTCGGAGCCTTTCATGTAAAGCATGATTTTCCTGATGTGTCTGCTTTTTGAGTAGCTGTCCCAGCAGTTGCAGCTGACGAGCGCTCAGGAACACCTGACAGCATCGCTTCCTCCTCATCTGCAGCACCTCAGCCAGGAGTGCCGCCTCAGCCACAGGCTGCTTATGCTGGAGTGCAGCAGGGACCCCCAGCTGGAATGGATGGTGAGAAGCATTTTACTCAAATTTGTGGTCAAATTATGAAAGATGGGAAAATAAGTTGGTAATATTCATCAGTATTTTATTTCTATAGCATCTTCCACTACCTTTGTAGTAGCCCACGGTGCTGTACACTATCACAATAAAAAAATAAAGTAAAAGTATAGTAAAAATATGTAAATAAAGGTTATAAGGCACAAAGTAACAAAAAAGCCTCTCGGAGAAGCAAAAAATATATTTACATTGTTCTTTTTTAGAGACTATTTTTAAAGTTTCATGCAGTTATTTACTATTTGTCATAATTATTAGACCCAAGTTTATTTCCCTAACTGACTTTATTTGGTGCTGATTTGTGAAGTAAAACAATATTTGGATTTGAACAAACCAAATGGAGAGAAATTGAAACGTTTCGGCGCAGGTCATTCTTTACACATTTCTACATGCACTGAGGGCTTGTTTCCTTTTCGAGGACTTTAGATGAAATTCTGTGTCTGAAGAAATAGTTGAATGAGTGATGACCCCAGCTAATCTAAACTGTGTAATCTTTGACAGGAAATTAATCTCAGGCAACCTTATCGTGGTGTTTGGACAAAGCTAAAGCCTTGATAATGAAAAATGAACAAAACACTGGCTGCCTGTTGGAAAAACATTTTTAAGTGCACCACAGAAGAAAATAGTCCTGCATGCCAATCACATGATTCCATTCTGGGGTTTTTGTTTGTTTGTTTTCAAAATTAAAGCTCATTTTTTTAATGTTTGGAGAAAAGACAGGTGCAACATCTAAGGCCAACGTGTTTGTTATTGTTGGCGTTGTTACACGCTTATGCTGGGTTGTTTTTTCTTCTGTTGAACAGAGTCACACAAGACACATTAAAGGTTGATGGTCTGATTCACAGAACTTAACCAGCTAACTTAGTTTAGTCATTTCAAATAAAAGCTAACTGTAACCTCTCAGGAAAGCAGCCGGTTTATTTGTTTCTGTTCAGTCTCTCGTCTAAGTTTAGACTGTAAATTACTTTGCCATAAGAGGCCAGCAAAGATTCATTCTTTCGCTTCTTAAATTAGCTGTGGTTGGAGATATGGACTTATCTTGTTGTTAAACATTTCCAAGCCCAATGTGGTAAGTTTGTCTCATCTGGTCCATGATATTTCTCTTCTTGGTTCCAAGGCTGCTGATGGTTGGTGCTTAAAGACAAACTCAGCTCTGCACAGTCTCCTCTTTAACCTTCTGTTTTAGATGCACTGTTAGTGTAACGTCCTCCAAGCCAGTTTAGACAGCTCTAATAAAGGTCCTATGTCATCCAAAATTCTTTTTCTAGAGCTTTTGACCTTGTTGTTTACTTTAAAAAAAAAACAAAGCAGCTTTTTGGCTTAGCACGTGCTTTTTCCTATCTCAGCTGCTTCTTCCCTTCAGATCTGGTAAACTCTGCTAAGCTATTGCAAAAGCCTGGATGGAACAATGTTGTTATTAAATTCCACTTCTCCCCATTTACATAGTCTCGATTCTGTATCCTTCCTCCCCTGGACTGTAAACACTAACGCCCAGCGTCTCTGTGTAGCTCATGGGGAGATTATACTCCACAGTTGTGATTAAGGGATTTCTTTTTTATTTAGTCTGCATTTTAAATATTACAAAAATGGATTTTTGTCCAAGAGGTACAGGATTCCTGTCTTCCTGCAGAAATGGTTGGATTTTAGTTTCAGGAGCTCTCAATAACTGAGCCAGAGTGTGACCACGATTTCACAGACGGCTTGTTAATCCACAGCCAGTAGCAGAGGGGTCGGCGTGAATCTGCCGTCTCCAGGTCTGCAGCTGTAAACTATTGTGGAACTCACACAAGTAGAGGCAGGGTTTGATCTAATCCAAGCATCTTCTTTTCTGGTTGAAGTAATGGTTCTCAAAATAACTTATAGTTCATTAAAAAGACATCTTAATGGTGCCAGCGGTAGTATTTTATCATATATTCTGCCTACTGTTGCCCTGGAAGGTGTAAATTTGTGATGATGATACAAGTCCTTTAAGATTTCAAGATGTGTGGCATTTTCAGTGTGGTCGGAAGCATACCTTCAACACAAGCTTAGGTTTCTTAATACCAGAAGAACGCTGCAGACAGGATTTATAAGCAGATGGTAAAGATAAGACCTGATGGATGAGTGAGCCGTAGCAATGATTCACATCGCTGCAGGAAAGAAAACAAAATGCATGTGGCTTCTTTTTCAGACGGGCAATTGTGTTTGGTGGGAAATGCTTGTTTTGGTGGAGGCATGCAAAGATGTCAGAGGATTAAAGTGAACTGCTTCTCTTTCACTTCTAGTGAAAATAGTGTTTATACACTGGTTTTTCCTGATGCTGAACCCTTGACTACTCCCATCCAGGCCCTAAGATTTCTAACCGCCATCTTTCCATCCCTCCTACATAACAGTCTTCATGATGGACTGCAGATGATTAGAACAAGAGAGAAAACCGATTTCACACATGCCTCCCTTCACAGTAAAGACCACAGGGTTCACGTTAAAGCAGAAAACAGATGACCGAGGAAGTGAGGTGGCAAAGAGGGACACTGTTCCCACGATGACTAACACAGCTCATGAGTATTACACAATCATCTTTCTCCTCTGGCTGCTGACATCTTTTTCAGACCATTTCTTTTTGTGGGCGATCATCCCAGTAGATCTGCGGTTTCTGAAACATTTAGTTTATCTTATACCATGCCACATTCACAATTACAAAAACCTTCATTTTCATGCTCATTTTAAAATCCTACAAGCAGACTTCACTAGCCTAGATATTAGGACAAACCAGACTTTACTGTGCAGGTCGGTCTAGCCACGCTCCATAGTAGCCCAGCAGGTCTACCATTGGACCGAACCGTTTTGGGTCTGGGTGATCACAGCGATCTGTTTGTAGAGAGGGCGTGCTGAGCACCACCAATGCAATGGAGAAAAACCTCAAAGATGGTGGCAACTCGTTTGAAAGTGCTTTAGCATCAACTTTGGACGATTTAGACTTTGACTCGTCTTTGAGACTTGAGCAGATACTTGAGTCCTTTATTTAGAAAAAGTATGTATTTGCTTCTTCTTTGACGATGTGTGGCAGACTGCCCCGTTGACTGGTTTCCATAGCGATCAACATGTTTCATTGCTTGTTGCTCTGTTTGGTCCCATCACTGTCCGGCTGCTTGCGGAGACGGTTTGAAAAACAGCCATAGCTTCTGCCCTAGGACTGAGCTCTGTCTATGGGTCATGGCCAGACTATATGTTCATGCCAGGCTTCTTCTTCACTATTTCTAGATGCCTAAATGCACTGAGGTGCTGCCATGTTAGATACTTTTCTTTGAAAAAAAAAACAACTACTAATGAAGAGGTGTATCTAATAAAGTGGCCAACACAAAACATCTGAGCCAATGAGAAGTTGCTGCTCTCTCAAGTTGTCTAAAGTCTGAGTAAAGTTTTATCTCAAAGCCAAATTTCCCTCCAACCTGCCAGGGAATGGCTCGTGTGAGAGACCTTAGTGTTGCAACCAGAGTTGTCCCAAAGAGGCTGCAGCTGTTCTCACTGAAGCCTAGATCTGATATTCCGTCCAGATGAGCAGGTGTTTGAAGCTATGCAGCCCATCTGAATGCAGAATCACCAGATGCTGTTGGATCTCTAAACAAATGGGACAACCCAAAAGTTTTCAGGATGTCCAAAAGGATGTTTATCAGTTTCTGATTTTGCTTAACTGGTAAAACGCCTTTTTGAAGTGAAGGAATTCAAACATTCCCAAAGACGGTCAAGATTTCACTGGAAAGCCAGCGTTTGATCGTGATTGGAATTATCTGAGAGAGGTCCGCAGAGCAGAGGCAGCTGGGACAATAAAAGTGTAGTCTCAGCCCGTGGACTATAAATATGATTTATGTTAAATGGTTGAATTATTTTATGGACAGTTGTTGGCCAGCTAGCTGCCTTATACCAGGTTTTAATTGCAACTAAAGGACCGAAGGCGGCACTTCATGTGGAGTTTTTGGCTGTAGAGTGGGACTGAGGGGGATTTTCACATAACCCTGGAAAAATCACACTTATTCCAATCAGATTTATGGACCGAGCTGCAGAAGCGTAGATTTGTTGCATCTGGTAATGGTGCCCTTTAAATGAGGTCATAGATGTAAAATGGTGCTGGACGTACCTGGTCACTAATAATGTTTCTCCCTGTCTTTTCAGGTCAAGTGTATCAGTACCAGGGTGGATACCCACCTCAGCAGCCAGGTGCACCTCCGCAGCAGCAGTACAGCATGCAGTATGCTGGTATGATATGAAAGCTATGCTTTTAGGAAAACAGGCACAGCTGTGTTGTTGATTCATCTTAACAAGACCTTCTCTTGATTTTCAGGAGGATACAGCTCTCAGCCTGGAGCTCCTCCACCTGGCCCTCCACAGCCTCAGCAGCAGTTTCAGAACTACCCTCCACCCACCTCCCAGGCACCAGGCGCTGGTTCAGGCCCAACTGCCAGCTTCCAGGGCGGGCAGCAGCAGCAGCAGCAGACCCATCCATCTCAGGGGGCTCAGCAGTATCCACCAGGAGCCTTCCCTGCGCAAAACTATTCCTCCCAGGCTTCCCAGCCTGCTAACTACACCATACCACCAAGCTCCCAGCCTGGCTCGGGGTATCAAACCCGTCCAGGGTTCACCCCACCTCCAGGCAACCCTGGCACTCCTCCACCTGGAGCTGCTAATCCCTACGCCCGTAATCGCCCCCCTTATGGGCAGGGTTACGCCCAGCCAGGTCCTGGATACCGGTAATTGAAGATAAGAAATGTTAGTGATGCTCACATGTCCCTGAATCCAACCCCCTCCCCTCATGTGGCTCTAGCTGTTTGCAATGGGAGCAGAAACCTGCAGCCCACCAATTATCAAATCTGAAACCAACCCCCCCTGGTCTGATGGTTAGTGTCTGTGTCCAGCACATCACTTTGTCCTGGTCCTGGTGTTAACTCTGTGTCTTACTTTTCTCTGGCTGCTTTGCCCTCTTGTGTCTGTCGGTGCAACTAGGTCCAGTCTGTCCACACACACACACACACCTGGTAAACAACCGCAGGCTGTTGCACAAACCCTTCACTGTCCTTTTCATTGCAAGGTGTTATTTAACGAGTGAGATCAGCATTTGCCTCGAGTCTCCAGCAGCTGTGAGTTAGCTCTGGAGCTGCTAAACACTACCACAATGAAAAGTTGTCCATTAATTTTAACGTTCTTGTTTAGATGTTTCTTTATTTGATCACCACCATGTTGGTATTGAGTGAAACTGCCCCATGTTGGGAACACTAGCTAAGTGATGACTACTGGGAGGTGTAGTCCTAAAGCTCTCGTTTTTTTTTCCCTCCAGTATCGCCTGTTTTTCCTTTCTTTATCTTATCACTGGTTTTTACTAATATATCAAATCTAATTCCACTCAGACGAGTTTAGGTATGTATAAATGTTAACTTTTTTTTTCTTGAACCTAATAAATGATTGGAACCCACGTGTAGTTCTGTATTTTTAAATGTTGCTGCTTTTATTAAATAATCATTGCCCTGCCGTTTCCCTGCGGTTTGTGACTTCATGTCTGTTAGGTTTGGCTGGGCTCTTCTTCTTCTCCACCCAGATCTGGAAAACTGCGGTAATGCTGGTATTCCTGGTTTATTTTCCTGACTGTGGGTTGTGGTTGGCCAGGATATGTAGCATAGGAGTATGTGGTAGATCAACCATGTCAAACTGGCTAAGCATACATGGTGATTAATGATCATGTAGAGAGGCAGAGCAGCATAAGTGTTTCTCTACTGTGAATAGGCTTCATTATGAGTGGTTGGTGAGAGATTTATTCCATTTGGTTCATGTAACTGCATAATTTTTCTGTGTTGGTTCACCTATTGCACACTGGGGAAACGTGTTAATACTGATGTCTTAAATGTTCCTTTTAACTGCTGAAGTCCCTTAGGATGAAGGTGGTAAACAGCGCAGGCCTTGCTGCACAAATGAAGAAAAATAATTGCAGTATTTCATTTGTAAAGCAGATTGATTACCTTCAGCCTTTTGAAGTCTTTCTTTGCAAGTTAACTTTTTTTAAACCAGTTTTTACTAACGGCTAGTTCAACATATCAAAGTGTACTGCTGCTGTCTGAAAGACATTCATGTTATTGTATATAATTAATGTAGTCACGTGTCATTTTTGCGTGATACGTTTATTAATTCTGCAGCATAAATGTAATTTAGTCATCCTGATTTGTAATAAGGCACCACGGCTCATTTGTATATTTACAGTACGTATACAAACAATATTTATAAAACTACGGCCTAGAGGCTCTTCTATGCAATGTCAAGAATGCAAAACTGTCTACACAGGTGGCCGGAACAGCCAATCACACGTTAGCAAGTATCCGCAGAGCCAATGAGCTTATGGACGGTTCTAATGCTTCAACACAAGCGGTTGTGTTTCTTGGTTTTAGAGCTCTACCAGTGTCTATTTAATGTAGCGTAATATTGTTTTTGGATGGTAAAAAGTGCAGGGGACATAAATTGACTTTGGACAAAGTGGGCAACCATCTGTCACTACTCACTGGGGCCTTTCTCTGTGGCCTAGTGGTAGAGTGTCCGCCCTGAGACTGGGAGATTAGGGGCTCGACCCCTGGTCAGGTCATACCAAAGACTTTGAAAAAATGGGACCCAATGCCTCCCTGCTTGACACTCAGCATTACGGGGTTGGATTGGGGGGTTAAACCACCAAATGGTTCCCGAGCGTGGCTGTGTCTGCAGCTCACCGCTCCCCCAGGGGATGGGTCAAATGCGGAGAATAAATTTTGCACACACACCTGTGTGTGTGACAACTAATGGGACTTTAACTTTTAACTTTACAGTCTGGAGAAACAAACAAATTATAAAACAAACTATATATTTGGATTTCAGAGCAGTCGATCACAGATTAAACTGATCATGCCGACTACTGACCAATTTTTGTCAACAGTCAGTTTTTTGGTGCATCACCATGAGAAACGCACATCAAAATTATGGAAAACTCCCTGTTTTCCCAGAAAGATAAAAGGACACCAAGTGAACATGTCATTATTTAATAAGGACAGCTGCTCATGCAGCAGCCAAGCCTCCATAGATAATCTAGAATGGTTTTAGATTCATACACTTACAAGTGGCCTCCTGTTTAGTTTTAACACTTTACAAACACACATCTGATTTTATGTCACTCAAGAACACCTTCCACTTTGAGTATGGGTTATTGCTAATGGGACAAGGTGGAGAAATGAGGGCCCGGGCGGGCTTTGATCTCCAGACTCCCAGGTGAGAGCCACACGCGCCAACCAGTCAGCCAAAGGGATACTCCTGTGGCCAAGTAGCCAGGGCACATGATCAATTGGGAAACAGTGACAGGATGCTCACCCTGTCACACTCTCTAGAAGTTTTTCTTAGTGATGGTGCATTCTCAGACAAAAGAAAACATAATTTTGAGTACGAGAATTTCTGGTCGTTGGTCAAGCTGGAAATCAACCGATTCTGGTCATTAGCTAATCAATCAATGCACCCCTAGATGTTCCTACCTGTGTTCACTCAGCATAAGGAGAGAGAAGGTAAACTGTATGGGGGAATATTTGTCTCATAATTGTCAAAAGTACAATTTGGGTAATTCTGAGACTTTTGTTCTAACATTAAAAAATGCAACAATCTCATTCTGCAAATGTAGGTGCGTGTGCAATTTTTGCAGTAAATATTAGATTACTGATGAGAAGCAAAAGTAATCCTCCAAACTGTCCCATCCTGAAATTCATATGAGGACAAGTGAAATTCTATAAATATCAAAAAAAATATTTATTTAGGAAAACTTAGCCGTGAAAAACATTTAGGAGGAACTTGCATTGATTAAAAGTTTCTATTTACACTTTGCAGAGTTAATAAAGAAAATTGTAATTTCTATAGTTAAAACAGGTTCATACAGGAAGATATACACGTGTATTTTTCTCTGGATGTTATAAAATCCATAAATGTTAGCTTTAATATTTGGACTGCTCATATTTCAGATGTTTTATTTGCTACTTGAAATGTATTAAACTGTCTTCATGAAAAATGCATCATTTTTACACCATATACAAATAGGAACACACATTTAATACTGTGCAAATTGCAACTGCTAATAATCTCCTCAGACTTTGAAGAAGTTTATTTCCGCATGTCCTCGTGTGGTTTTACTGTACAAAGTTAACATGTACCAATGAACTATGGTCGGTACTATTTTGCCTACAAACCACCAAAGTGTGCACTCTGATGGACGACATTTTTAGACTTCCACTCTTCAAACATATGACCACACACAGAATATTAATTAATGTTCCCCTGATAAATATTATCATACAAGATTTTACGGGGAGCCAGCTTCCCAACATTATCTCTGAAATTAATGTAGATTATTTTCTTCTTTTTTTTTGTTCAGATCCTGTCCTTTTTTTAATCTCTTCTGACATGTACTGATAAATAGAAAAAGTTACGTTGTTGAAAATGTGCTCAAGGCTTCAGAGACACACAACAGTTCACATCTGGAGAGTTGGGGGGCTTTGACCTGACAGCCGTCTGCCGTGAAGATCAGCTCAAGTCCCATTTGGCCTAACCAGGCACCTCTTCTCCTCTTTAGAGAAGGTCTTCCTCCTGGATGGTCTTCTTACCACTTACCAGGTATGGGTGTGCCACACTCATACCAGCCTACGTAGGTAGCATGAGATTTTCCTCCAATCTCCCCAAAGTGGACAGGTTCTTGTCTCAATGCTCTGAAGAAACCTGACGCACAAAGAGCAGATTAGTCTTTGTAAGAAAAGATATGATCAGATAAAGTTCAGGAACAACACCTTGTCTGCTTTGTAGCTGGTCAGCCAGCATCCTGGCGCCAGTTTTGCCATCCAGGAAGGAGTCCACGAACTGACAGTGGTCTTCGCCGAACCCCGTCTGGTCTCCAATGTTGTAAAACTTACCTGTAATCAGATATTTAATTTATTTTTCTGAAACTCAATATGATTCTAGGCAGACACTCACAATCCAGAAGATTTTCAAGGTAAATTTAATCTGAGATTTGTGCTGGTGAAGGTTTTCAGTCATCCAGCTCATGGTAATCCAAAGAGGTTAGAATGAAGGCAACTGGACTGTTTTGGTTTCATGAAGACATTTCGCCTCTCATCCGAGGAGGTTTGTCACATCTGACTGGAGTAATGGAGGGTCAAGCTCACAAACTGTAGCTGTCATTTGTTCCTTAACAAGCTGAAACTACCTATGAATAACCATCTTCAAAAGTTTGTCCCTTGTCCTTCAGGTGGAAGTGGACTGCAGAGTCTTGACCTGAAGAGGTGGTTCTCCTTGTGCCGCGTGCTTGTGTAGTTTTTTTAGACTCTAGTGTCCACTTACACCTGAAGAACTAGGGACACACTTTTGAAGATGGCAATGTTCACATTCTGGACAGAGAAGATAAATGGTTTGAAAGAGGAGTAAAGGAAGCTATCTATGTCAAACAGGAAAACCCGAGAGAGGAAAAGGCCTCAGGTTTCACATTTCCTGCACCCACAATGCAGCTTTAAACTAATTCCAGTTTCAGTCTAGAGCCCTTTCCCAAAGACGCACCCTGTGCCGGCAAATCAGCGTAATACTGCTACCACGGTGTGTCTTATAAACATGCCGTAGGGGCATGGCATTGTGGGAATTTTGCACCATTTGTGCCGCCACATTTGGTAGTAACATTACAGCAACGCAGGACTTGTGAATGCATATTAGGCATTGGCCCAACAGAGGGAGGTGTCATGATCAGGTGGAGAGTTACTGCCGAGCTCCGGCCAGCAACTATACTAAAAATGAAAGTAAACACAGGCAGTAAGTTTCACTTTTGCAAACAGAATCAGCTGAGATGATAAACTGGAGTGATGCAGAGCTCCAGGAGCTTCTCTCCGTTAGAGCTGGAGCTCAGATCACCAGAGACTGCCCGAGGACTGTGGAGGACAGACACCTTTAGGAGCGACTTGTTAAAAAAACTTAATGAGCATGGTTTTGATCGCAATAAAAAGCAAGTTATGTCTAAGATAAATGAAATGTCAGCTGCAGCACAGAGACCGCCCCCATATCCACTTTATACCGTCATCGCATAATATTTTGTAAAAAGGACTCGATTGTGCCAAATTACATCCACGGTCTGACCACTTATAAACAACCTAAGACTCCCTGATGCCAGCTAGATGTTGTGGCAAATTGACGGCATTGTTTTCTAAAAGAGGTTTAGGTCACACCCTCCTGCATCTAATCAAAACAATCATTTCCACACAATCGGGGCTAACAACGTCAACGACTCTCCAGCGGGTAGGGAGGAGGGGTATTCATAGGTGGTTTCAGATTGTTAAGCAAGAATAGACCGCTACAGTTTCTAAGCTTGGCCCTTCCATTAGACTTGCCAGCCATGCCAATGCTTCCTTACGGCAAACAAAGGACCCGGTAACGCTCCCGTTCAACCCTTTCCACCCCCTGACCTATAACCACGCCAATCAGCTCTGAGAGTGTATGTCACACACCGCAACACTCAGTTTCTCATAAACAACAAAGATGGCATCTGAAGTTAAGTTGGCTGCGGCTCTTTTCTCTGTTCTAAATGACTTGGACCTGTCTTCAAAACCACAACACGAAGAAACGCTAAAAGCCTTCTTTCTAAAAAAAAAAAAGATGTTTGCGCTGTTGCCAGCTGCCGTTTTTGACTACAGCTAAAAAAAACTTTAGTGTCGCACGAGACAATCGTCAATTCCACTTTTTATCTGATTGATTATTTTTGAGCTGGCTTGTCCCACTAGCCTGGCCTGCCAGACTCCTCCTCTGTTTAATTCTGCACAGAGAAAGAGTTTGGGAACTCTCCTATTCAAATAACTCCACTTCGTGAGAATTCGAACCGAGCCAATCAGGGCTGAGTAGCGCACGTCACACACCATAACGCCGATTTTGTCGAACATGAACATGGCGACTGAAGCGGAGTTCACTGCGGATCTTTCCTCTGTTCTAAATGACTCGGACACGTCTTTAAAACAACAAGTAGAAGCGCTAAACGCTTTTCTTCTAAAGAAAGATGTTTGCGCTGTCGCCAGACGCTATTTTTGACCACAGCTAAAAAAAACTACAGCATCATGGACGTCACACACAGCGACGCTCAGTTTCTCATAAACAACAAAGACAGCGGCGGAGTTCGCTGCGGCTCTGTCCTCTGTTCTAAATGACTCGAATGTCTTTAAAACCACAACAAGTAGAAGCACTAAAAGCATTTCTTTTAAAAATATAAAAGATGTTTGTGCTGTTGCCAGACACCTTTTGTTTACTACAGCTAAAAAATCTACAGCGTTGCGCTGTACAGCCGGCAGTTCAGTCTTTTTTGCGATTGGTTATTTTTGAGCTGCCTAGTCCCGCCCCTCAAAAGCATCTCTGCCTGTGAGTTACCAGACTCTCTCTCTGTGCAGAATTAAACAGAGGACGAGTCTGGCAGGCCAGGCTATTGTCCCGCCCCTCATGGTGCTCTCTGCCTCTGAGGCAGGCCAGGCTACCCTCCCATATTCCAGTCAGAATTGACAAAGCTCCTCGGACGAGGAGCGAAATGTCTTCAAGAAACCAAAGAAGTCCAATTACTTTCATTCAAACCCTTTTAGAGATCTGAGATTTGTGGTCTATGTTCTGTTTAAGGATGTACAGTAAGAATGTTTGTATGTATGCATAACTGGACAGAAAAATGTTGCACAGAAGTTGAGGCCAAAATAGAAAAGTTCAAATAAACCCAAAAATAAAGTCATCTTAGTGAACGGTCAAACTTGCAAGTTATTATTTTGTCAAAGAAATAAAAAAGGCATCTCAGATTATTTTTTTCCTCGTTGATACTCACGCCGTTCTTATTTAGTTACCATAAATGAACCTATGTTGTTTTTGTTGCTACACTAAACCTATATTTGCATTAAAAAGTTTATTTGTCCAATTCTGTGCTTACAGAAAGATTAGCTATAAAGAATAATAATTTATAATATGAAATTGTTTATAATCTTCTACTATGGTACAAATTTGATTAATTAAAGGTTGCATCAGCCAACAGCTCTGATTTTTATTTGCGTCGTCTATTTTATTGTGATCCTCTACCACTTACATTTTGTCATCTACATACTTTAAGATGACTTCCACAGCTAACATATTTTCAACATTTGACCAAAACTGCATCATTTATCAAAAATCAATAAAATACAGCGTAAAACATTGTGAGCGATGTGCTTTCCCTCTAAGGAGGGTAGGTCTTTAATGATGTTATCTTAGTGTGCAAATACCAGTGAGTGAGTCACTAAGGTAGATCTTGTATCTCAGGGAATTGCAGAGCTGGATGCCCACAAATTTTCGGTACCAAGTCCTCTTTACATATTGCTTTCCATTGCATTCAGAGTAGGCGTCGGATTTGAATGGAAACTGAGTCCAGATGGCGTCTTTGCCTGTAAGAAAACGGAAAAAAATATCCTTAATAGTCTGTTTTTACAAAAGCGAAATACTCTGATGTCAACAACAAACACTTCACCTGAGGCGTGCTCGCTTACACGGGGATCCGCTTCAGAGACAAAGAGTTATATTATCGATAATTTCCAATACATAAATCAAAATGCTGAAATAATCTGTTGAGCACAAACGCATCAGCATTTGTCAAATGTTTCAGAAAACTCACCAGATTCTGTGCTAAAGGTCACAGGCTCACTGGAGGGCCCGGTTCCCAGCTCGTTCTTTGGTGTGACTTTAAACTCATAGCTGGGGGAAAAAATGGTGATAAGATACGAATAATCAATTACAAAAATATATGTAATGATGTCTAATCATGGCTTTCAGCATCTAAGAATTCACTATAAATCTACTAATGTGGGCTGAATAGAACTTTAACTTTAATGGCCTTGACAGCTCAGCATGTGTGTGCACACATACACACACATGCTGATCATCATTCCACGTGCCGATTCCAGATGTGCTGGCCCGTCTCGCAAATTCAGCCCAGGAGAGGAGGGTTCTGGTGAGCCTCCAAACTACAAACATCTAATTAAGAGCCACCTCCACCCACATTTCCTCAACCTTTGTGTGTGTGTGTGTGTGTGTGTGTGTGTGTGTGTGTGTGTGTGTGTGTGTGTGTGTGTGTGTGTGTGTGTGTGTGTGTGTGTGTGTGTGTATGTGTGTGTGTGTGTGTGTGTGTGTGTGTGTGTGTGTGTGTGTGTGTGTGTGTGTGTGTGTGTGTGTGTGTGTGTGTGTGTGCGCGTGCACGCGTGTGCAGTTGGGACTCGTGTGACTCACTGCACATGCTGTCAGGGTTCATGGGAATCCAAAAGCAGCACACCAACCATTTGCTGTGTCATTTCATCAGACTTTCCTGCTGATCTACACACATCGTAGGCTAGATCAAACCGTGTGATGTCTTGGTTCCATACCTGCTCTCTGGTGTGAGATTCTCCACCGTTGTGTGCGTCTGGTTGGTCGTCAGTATAGACACCGCTTTTCCATGTGGTCCGGTGGTGGTGGACACAACTTCATACTCTGGGCAACAAGACAGAGACCTGCTTCACTTTTCAAATGTCACAGTTTACACCAGTTTTTAATCAAGAACACCTTATTTTGTGGAAACTGGAGACAGACTAGGGGATTTTCATATGGCCACAAATCTTTGATTCACTTGTCATGTAGTTTATTTTTATTATTTTAGGTTTTCTTGTGACAGCAAATATTAGACTTTTGATCCATTATTTTATATTAGATGTGTTGATTTAGACTTACAACAGGTCACTTTTAATTTCAGATTTAATAGGAAGCAGTTAAAATGATTAACCAGACCTGGTAACCAGTGAAGCAACATGTATACAAATCTGTTTCTGGAGCTAGGATTGGGACAATATTACATGTAACTTGTATCAAGTTTTGTAACTGTAACTTTTGTTTTGTAGCATGTAATTCTCGTTTTGTAACATGTACCTTTTGGTACGTAACATGAAACTTTCATTTTGTTACAAACTATATTTCTACAAGTTTTTTTTTGTGTTATTAACCCTTAAGCCCAGTTTCTGCTTCTTCGTCTGCAGCAGTACGGAGACACGCAACGTCCAAATCCATCGTTGCAAGGGCTCTCCAGCAGGCTCACAAAGACGGATGGAGGCAAGCCAAGTTCTCTAAATACGTCGAACAAGGCAGAGAACACAAGCTTGTGATTGGTCAGGACGCCGCTTTCATCAACAGCGCCACCATTGCGCCCCCACAGAGTATCTTGAAGTTTACTGTTACGGCTACCAGCCTGACACCGCCCCTCCCCCTCCTCTCTTCCAGGCTGCTGAGGAGCACAGCTGATCTGAATCCTGCTGATGACCAACACCTGGATAAAAAGGCTGTGCCCTCATCAGTCTGGCAGGCAGCAGTGCAGGGGTCCTGCTGTCCTCCAGGCCTCATTTTGGTTTTAACCCCTTCCTTTTGATGAGTTTTAACTTTAATAGTTTTAACTCTGAGTGAGCCACATGGATCTTTTGTGCATGTCACCTAGTGTCGACTGTGTTTTAAGGTTAACTCGGATTTAGTTTTTAGACTTTTATCAACTTCGTTGTGTTTTTAAAACACCTTCAGTTTGGTAAAACTTTCAATAAAGTTTTAACCAGGTGTTTTATATAGTTGATAATTTGTCTTTTAACTGTTAACCTTATAGTGAATTTTTCATTTTGCATTATATAAATAATGCTCGCCATCTGTTTGCATTTGTTTTTAGAACCTTTTGCAACAATTAAAACCATTTTAACTCCACTATCGTATTTCTTATGTTACCCCCTCCTTCGCATCTTAACATCTCCTGTCGGGGACATAACAATACCTTGCGGGAAAACTCTAAAAATATGGACGTTTCATTCACCCGTGACTGGAGAAGTAATAAGATATGCAGCAAATGTTTTATTCATGGATGTAAATGATCAGAAACGTAGGTTTAAAGGTGGAGAGGGAGAATCAGGGACAAATTTGTCCGTGTTAAAAAGTCTCTGAAATACAAATACAAAATGAATGTTTATCTAAAATAAATTTCTGTGATCTTATTTTTGTCTAATGCAATGGTCTGCTGGATCTTTAATGTTCAAAAATAACCATAGCTGTAGTTTGACTATACGTTTCTTGTTACTAAACCAGTTTTTGATGCAATATAAGGTCATGGACCACTGGCTTAGTGGACATTAAACTAATCTGAGGTCAGCACTTTGTAACAAAAAACTGAAAATGTAATAAATTGAAACTAAACTAGACTTGGCAACTTGTTCATGGCAAGAAATCAAACTTCTGAGGGATGCCAAAGCAGCTACTGTTAGTTTTTATAACTCCCAAAGGTCCTTTTAGAGTTGTTTTGGGGTGTGGATGTATAAAGTGTATATAAGTAATGAGAACCAGACCAAAGAAATGTTAAAGCAGCTGAAAGTGGCTCATTTGGGTCACCAGGGTAGGTCTGCCCACCTGAGATGAATCAAACAATTGATGTGAGAAAAACACTGACCCAGACACTAAAAGGCTGCTGCTTTACAAATCATACCCAAAGCCATTTTAGAGTTCCTACTCCCTACCTCTGGTTTCATTATCCGATTTGTCCCAGTCAAGAATGACGAAGGACGGGCAGCCCTCCACGGTAACCACCGTGACGTTGGATGGCGCCGTCCGAGGAGGACTGGTCACATTCTGATCACTGCCTTCCTCATTAGGGAAGTAAGCCATGGAGGAGGTGATGGAGCATGGCTCATCTGGCTTTTTATCCGTTTTGTAGATGACATGAGATGCTGCAGACAACCCAGTTACAAATTGGAGCAAAATATTTAGACCCATTAAGACGCTGCTATGAGTAAATAATGGAGTCTTACCAACAAAGCGTTTTTTCCCCATAATGTCTACCTCTGATGACGGCAGGGACCTGAAAATGGAGGCGTTTTCATTCATGTCAAAGCGGGTGCCTGTTGGGGAAGCAGCACGGAGGAGGTGGGGTTAGATGGATGCTGCCAGGAGTGCCTGGCAGCTCTTGGTGTGCTCTTATTTTACAGCCCTGGCCTCTGACTCTAACCAGGCAGCTCAGCACCTGCTCTGGCTCACACTCAAACTCTTCATTTTACAATTTTCTTCCTTTATTTTATGTTTTGCCCACATGCAATCTGCACCACTCGCTCACCATCCTGTGCATGCAAATGCTGCATGTTGTTTTGTTCACACGTGTTACTATTCTCATAAATAGGCCTTTGCATAAATCTAGATCATGTGATCTTTGTGTTAGAATGTCCCTGGTGCTCCTACTGTTTACTGCAGGGACCATTGTGGTCGTCTGTGGTCTTCGCTCTTGCGTTGGAATTGCAGTGACTGGAGGGAGAGACTTCAAGATGGACTCTTTCTCTCCTTGTTTCAGGTCCATGGGTTTATCTGCAGACAGAGTGCAGAAGAAGGAGAGGATATCAGCTTTTCTCCCCCATCATCTGATTCACAGCTACACACAGTTGTGATCCATCTGCTCTGGCCATCCTCACGGAGCAACTCTGTGGCCTTTTCTTGGCCGCCTCAGTATCTGAGATAGATTTTCGAGTAAACTCCTCTGTGTTCTTAAAAGAAGAAAAAGGCCTGCCAGGAATTATCTGCTGAAACCAAGGTGATGCACAGGCAAAACATACATAAGACGTATCGTTCAAGAAAACGCCTCTTTGTGCATCGAGGATCAACACTATGTAGAAGATAATGATCAATGTTGTAAGCCTTTTCTGATGCAAGACAAAGTGACAGGTGGTTCTTTTTAAATCGTGAGCTTTTATGTATACAAGTTTTCATTTCCCTCAGTAAACTGTGTCACGAGACATTTAAAAAATTATTTGCACGACTAATTTTTGCTCATATAAGTCATTGCGGGTGACTGGAACCCACCTGGGTTCCTTCTCACTCAGGCTTCTGTAAAACCGACTGTTTGAAAACGTGAGACGAGTTCTTTGGGGTTAGGGTTTCCCAAGTTTTGACAATACTGAGAAAGAAATAAGACACTTTGTTACTAAACTGCAACAAGAAAAACTGCACTGCATTTCAAAACTGGTCAGATTTATTCTGTTACAGGAGACACCACACACTAACTTCTCACACAAGGAAACAAATTCATTGTGATCATGACTGTAAATTTTTCTGTTTTGGGGGCAATTTTATATCTAGTTGCCAACAGCAGCCCAATGAGATGCAGGGTCGAGGGAAAACAGCAGGATTTGGAGTCAAGAGTCACCTCAAGGCACTTTAAAAGTAAACATTCCAACTGAACCTATCAGTGAATTGAGTTCGGTCATTATGCCAATTAGTTAAAGGTTTCCTATGTAACAAAACCCAGCAGATTGTATCGAGTCACTGACTTGTATCAGTGACTTTACAGCAATCATCATACTATCATACTAAGCAAACGTAGCGACAGTGGAGAGGAAAACTCCCCTGTAAGAGGTAGAAACCTCCAACAGAACCTGGATCAGTAGCAGTCATCCCCGTGACTCACTGGGGGGTTTGAGAAGACAGAGCAGACACACACACACACACACACACACACACACACACACACACACACACACACACACATCTCACCTCTCATTGGCTAACAGCAATGTGACTCTTTCACTGACTCCACTTGCTCTGCAACATTAATGTTTTATCTTCACAATCAACACAAGCCTGACGGTGTTCTGCTGTGTGGTGGAGTCACTAACGCTAATGGTTAGCTTCTATTAGCCATGATGCTCTCTGCTATCTCCTGGATGCTAAATCAACAACAGCCCTCTTTGTTGTGAACCAAAATGGGTGAATCCATGAATGCTAATTTACTTTATGAAGCAGTTCTTTGCGGCTTTTTTGACCCATGCATATTTTGCATATTTTCTTTTAGTGGCTAATGCCGTAAATAGGGTTAGAAGACCATTTTCATGGCAGGCCTGCGTGTGAAATTGAAGTGACGGATCATATTTCAAAAATAAGTTCAAAAAATCTTTTTTTTCTCAGTGAACTTGGTTTTAACGATCAGCTTAAATCACATCTTTGAATGGACACTTATGGATTTTCTGTGTATTTGACTGGGTTGTCTGAGTACATCTACCCTGATGCCCTCACCGTGATCACTGGATTCCCCCACCAGGTTTGGTCTCTTGTTTTCAGGGGCATGTGGGTGCAGAACTGCAGGAAATTGAGGGAAAGAAACGTTTATTACAGGTTAAATTAATAAACAATGTAGAAGAGAACAGAATAGAAAATGTGGAAATATGAAGTTAGGCGTTGTTAATACAGCTATGCAATAAAGATTAAACAGCATAACAATAAACAGAGATAGACATCTTAAGAGGGGAGCGCGTCTTCAGTAATGCTTTGAGCTGGAAACATAAAAACAAGTGCACAAACTTATTCAAGAAAAAAAGGAAGAAATCAGTTAAGTTTTCAGAAATGCAGCTGATATGTTTCACAGATTTTCTTTTGTCTGCATCTGGCTGCAAAGACATAAAAACAATATCAAAGTATGTGAGATGAAAGCAGCCCAGAAAAAATAAAGGCTGAATTATCTGCATTGAACTGGATTATTCTAATACCAGGTTAGTTTGGGTGTATTTTTAAAAGAGAAGATAAAGTAGGAGTTTTGACTCATGCATCAAAGATAAGAAACAGCATATTTAATCATTTCAGAGTTTTCTCCCAGCGCCTCCGCCCCATTTGCAGTTTTTCATTTCATATCATGAAGATTCATTAAAGGTCATTTTGTTGACAAGCTACAATAATTATCTGTGTTCTGAGTCTCCACAACACATCTGAGCTGGACCTGTCTCCTCCTTTCTGATGCTGACCTCCCCATGGTCGTAATAAATCAGCGAATTCTGGTTTTTACTGCCAAGACAAAAGAGCTGAAGAAAAAGTGAGACGTCTGCCAGCAACTCTTACTGATTACCACTGTGAATACAATCCAGGACTCACAGATGGTGTAGCCGTGAGCAAATGATAAACACATGCTTTACTCATTAAGTCACATTACTGTAATTTAAATTCATATCATTAATAAACAAAGAACACGTGTGTGTGAAGCATAAGAAAACTACAGTAACAGACGTCATGCTTTACTCAGCAAGACATGACAACAAAGCTCTGGAAAATACAATGTTTGTTCTACATGTTATTAAAATGCATCAACACATAATGTTTGTGTTATCTCCAAAATAAGGAGAGGTATAAGAGCAATAGTATGAAGATGCATGCGTTGCATGAATGTGACGTTAAAAAAAGTGAAGGAAAAGTGACTGGGAAAAGTTGGACGCCACATGTTTAAACTTTACCTTTACTATAATTGTTGTGATTTTCCATACTTAGTTTCTGAGGAAATGTAAGAGTTTGCAAACGTTTGGAGTTGGACACACTTTATCTGTTTTGTCAGATCAATTTATACATTTTTGAACGTGTCAACTGCAAAATAAACATTTAAAGTGGCAGTGTGTAGTTTTCTGACACTAGGGGGCAGTACATACATGCATTTCAGGGATTTTTACAACATTTCGACCGTGACTGTCGCTTGTTTACGAAAAACGTTACGGTAAATGTTGTTCCCTGTGGAGCAGAAAACATGGGACCTTGGGATGACTCTTCAGACTTTGACGGTCCTTCAGTTAATTCCATCAACAGAATGCAATGCTGATTGTAGTTTTCTGGGGCTGTAGTTTCCGGATCTGCTCGGGGTCCTGTGCCTGCCGATGACATCATCATATATATTGCAAAATATATTGCATCTCCTTTTTGATTCTGTTCCTTCACATAGGTTTTGGAAAGAGTTCAGCAGTTTTGTTACTAACTCATCATCTGCAAGCCATTTCTTGATGAGAAAAGCCCTTCGCTGCCAGTGTTTTTCAGCATTTTTACTGGGTTTTTTAGCATCACCGAACATTGTGCTCTATGATGGTGTCAATGCCAAAACTACTGAACAAAGAGTAGACTCACCTCTTACATCAGGAAGAATCCGTACATTTTGAGCGTTATCCGTTCTTTCATAATCCGTTGTCGAACTGTGATCGGCAGAAGCTTTTCCGGTTTGCGCCTCACTTTTCTTACAGCGAAGGCCTAAAACTATCTCCTAACACGCGGATTTTCTGCTTTCTGGTCACGTGACGTGTGGCGTACGCGGATGAAGATCGGCTTTAGAGCTGGGATGTTTGTTCTCACGGTGTGGAAGCTCGTTCCGACCACACAGTAAAAAAACGCAAATGACGACTTTAGTCATGCGTCAAAGATAAGATGCATGGGGTTGTTATAAATGTCGCCACTGCAACCATTGTAGTAATGTTGTTCAAACTAAAACTTTTACGGATGTTGTCTCCCAAAAGCATTTTTCGATTAATCATTTCATTGATTGTAAAACTACTTTGGTTATTTATGGATTAGAGTGTCCTAATTGCAAAGTATTTTATGTTGGCAGAACCAAACGACGACTACAAGATAGATTGGCTGAACACAAATACGCTATTCGCACAGGTAACACTAACTACCCAATGGCAAGACACTTTATGGAACATCACAACGGTGACCCGTCCACTTTACAGGTTTGTGGTATTGATCATGTCCCACAGTCTTTGAGACATGGGGACAGACAGAGACAGCTAAATCAGAAGGAGACTTTTTGGATATTTGAACTGCAGGCTACTTAACATCCAGGCATTAATGATGACCTAGACTTTTGAGTTTTTCTTTGATTGGTTTAGTCTGAAGTTTTGGCATTATTCTCCCTTTTGCTCTTGATGTTATAATTTTATTTCTATTGGGTGCTTTTAAACCATTTGTATATAATGTATGATATTCGGTGTATTTTATTTACTATGTCTGTTTCTTTCAATTTGGTAAGGATGACACCTGCTGGTGATTGTTGACACTTGTCACCTGTCTAACACATCTGCTATGTGGAGCTTTCTGATTGGTGTGTGTATTGGTTAAGAACTTCTCCGTACTGCTGAGAACTGTTTGACTCCCTGACGAAGGCTACATTCGCTGAAACGCGTTGGAGTTTTTAAAATGCCGTATGTGACCTAGCCATTACAATAACGACTTTTTAACTTTTCCTATTTGAGAGTGCTTTGGAGTGTTTCTTGTTTTCTTGACCACTTTAGTCGTCAACGGCAGTGAATGGTTGGATTTAAAATGACGACTTTTGTCGTCAGCGGCAGTTAATGAGTTAAATTTGTGTTTCTTACTAAATGTTTTTTAACGTGGTAACGTAACTTCTGTAAGTCGTACGTCCAGCCAGTAATCTGGTTTGATGTCATCGATAGGCACAGGACCCCGAGCCGGACAGAAGGAAACACGGTGTCTAATATGGCATCTCCCAAAGACGCTAGTCCCATGCCCTATGTTCTTTAGACCTGATTTTTATGGTTTTATGTTACAAAGCCGCCAATATTTTTCCACAACTGGATATAATTTTCTTAATAAACCAATGTTTCGATTGATTTTTCCAGAGATTAATGGTAAAAACTACACATTGTCTCTTTAAATACTCAAAAGCTAATTCACACACTGAACCATGCAACTTACTAACTTGCTCTTCCACACAAAAAATAGCACTAATGGTCCATAACAAAGTGTTCCATTCCAGAGAGATGCTGGTTCATGAGCAGGAGAGAATAGCACACCAGATTTGCAAGAGCTTTGTAAACTTGATATGCAAAAGCTTAAAATGCACTGGCAATAGACATGGAGTCCTATGGTGAATGTGGGCCTTAGGCTTCAACAGGTATGGGCTCCTCTTAGCAGTTTCTTAATGTGAATGTTAAAATATCTGGGTTTTCAAGTTAAGCTCACACTTTCTTCATAAATTTTGTGTTTTGTTTACTGTTCATCTACACTTGCACAAATAGGACACAAATGTATTTGAGTACACACAAAACTCAGCCTTTAAAGATTGCAAATGAATATCTACATAAACTTCAAGCATTTGGGGGGAGTCCTGCAAAATGAAACTTTGGCTGCAAAAAGCAAAGGTATATCTCACTGAGGTGTAGAATTTCACAAAGCTCTGTAGAGCTTGAATCGTGCATACTTTGAGCTCATGTTGCAGTCACAAGAAACAAATCGATTGAAGGGAAAAATTAAATACAGGAAATTTTAGGAATCTTATTTAAGTGTCCAAGGAAGAGTGTCTACAATGGAATGAATAAATAAAATCCCTACCAAAATGAGAACTGAAGCTGGCCAAAAAAATCTGCACGCAAGCTGTCAAACGAAGAGTTTCCAAATGTTTCTCATCAGTATCATACTTTTTTAGTTATTCATGGTGGTAACAACATTGACCAGGGGTGCCCATGAGCTTGCATGGCACTTTAGAAGCAGTTACTTTGCACGTTTTTAGAGCAGGCCGACATGCAACACTTTTACCCTTGTGCAGAGTCCTTTCCAAAAAGCCATGTGACTCCTTGAAAGCCTCTGAAAATGTCCAAGTTTCCAGCAATAATAACACAATCCAGCTGTGACATGAGACTGAAGCACAATCTCTCTTTGCAGCTCCAAACAACGGAGCTGAATAAACTGTCACCATTTACACAAATAGTCAAGATGCTGTTGGCTTTTCCACTCGAGATTCATTTAATTACTCTAATTGTCTGAACCAGTCTTGGCAGAGTAGAAGCCAGTTTTATGTCAAAATTATGATTATATGTGGCTTCAGTCTCAGCCTAGGGTAAACATACATGTCAGAAACCATGATGTCAAAAGGCGTTAGAGGACTAAGACAAAAGCCTGTCACAGGAAATGACAATGCTTTAAAATGTATTATCTTTGTTTGTCTTTACCAGGTTTTTCTCCTGACCACACCCCAGGTTTAGAAAGGGAATTGCCCCTATGATGTGCCCCATTCGCTGTTGGAGGGAAAGAAAGGTCTGTTACGACAAACATAAAGGAAAGTCAAAAAGACACAAAAAATAACTATTTTTTTTTATGGGCTCAGTATTTTTTATGTTGGTGACAAGAACTCTTTATGGGTTTGTGATAACAAATTCTATTCAAATTGAAAGTGTATGACTCTCGTCTTTTTGCATTTCCTGCTGTTCTTTTGACAAATTTGGAGGAACTGTGTGTGCTTCAGAGATGAAGAACAGAGACAAAGCTTGAAGGAGAGACAGTAGTGAGATTACAGCCTGCACAGTGTTTGGCTTGGTACAAAATGCAATGTACCTTGACCAGATGCTGTGTCCAGATTTCTCTCTTGGCCAACAAGAGTATGGAGCTAGGGTTGGGACAATATTACCTGTAATTTGTACCAAGTTTTGTAACTGTAACTTTTATTTTGTAGCATGTAATTCACATTTTGTAACACAACTTTCGTTTTGTAACGCATAACTTTGGTTTTGCAGCATGTAATTCTCGTGTCGTAACATGTGGCACGTAACATGAAACTTTCATATTGTAACTTGCAGAAAAATCTATGTACAAGTTTCAAGTCACAACTCTAAAAATGCACATCTCAGTCTAGTTACAAAATTTAAATCTATGTATTACAAAACATTTTGTCCCAATTCTAGCTTTCTTTCTCAAAGACCCAATGCAGGCTTTTTTGACCAGCCAGTCACGAGTCTTGGATTCCTGCACAATCATGGCAAGAAGGTAGAGGTCTGCAAGTTTCATGTTGCATGCAGAAAGTTACATGTTACAAAACAAGAATTACGTGCTACAAAAGTTGCGTGTTGCAAAACAAAAGTTACATGTCACAAAACATATTACAAGTTACAAAATAAGATACAAGTTACATGTTATATTGTTCCAAACCTAGCTCCATAAACAAGAGGGGCTATAAATCATGGCAACAATCTGGAACCCTGGGATGCCTTCACAGCATGCAGTAAAGGTGTGCAATATACACACATGTGTATTGTTACAAGATGTACAGTGGGAAACTATTGTATTTAGCAGGGGGGAGCAAGAAATGAAGACAGAATGCCCTAACTGTTTGTGTGACAGAATAAGAATAGAGTTTGACTTCTGGAGGTGAAGGCCATGTGTGGCTGTGGAAGAAGAGTCTGTTTGGGAAACAGAAACAACCATTACCATCGGGTATGGATGAGGTCTTGGACTGGGAGAATGGTCTCCCACCCTTATACATGGAATGAGATGGAATCCGTGTGTGGGGCACTGTGACGTTTCTTCCTCCTGTCGAAACTGATGAGCTAACAGGTGAATGCGGAACTTCATCAACAGATGATTTAATGATCCCAGAACCTAGAGACCAGAAAAGCCATTAGTGGGTTTAGAATATCTACTTCTATGTCTGAAAGATTCACCTAGATGGAAAACAGAACACAGTGTAGACAATGGATGAAATGACAAAGAAGCACAAAACAGCATCCAAAGCTAGACAGATTGCTGTGGGTATAAGTGATCAGGCTTGAGACAAGTGGCTTGTGTTGAAAATGAACTCAAACATGGAGACAGGGACAGCATTTGCATGGTGGGATGGAAATGCATAAGGGGAAACACTGAGCTCCTTGAGACTTGACATAAAAGCAGAGATGGTAATGGGACCGTGGCGTTTACCATCATTGTTACTACCAGCCTTCTCTGTGGCCAAGGGAGGTCTTGGTAAAGGTTTGCCCCCCTCTGGAAGACTAGGAGCTGTGTAAAAGAAAATGGACTTTTTATCTGGACAAAAATTATGTTGTATTGACTTTTAAAGGGGGCATACCCACGTTTTACAAGTGAAAAAATTAACATAATTGTTGGTATCACAGTCAGAGGAGAGGTAAAATGGATTTGTCACTACTGCAAAATCCTAATACCAAGGGTATGATTAAATTTCTAAGAATCTTTGAAACAAAATGTATCAGTCTTAATGCCCCCTTTAAAAAAATGATTCATGATGTGCATTGATGCTTAAATAGTAAGTGCTTATGTCAGATGGAAGGGTCTTTACCCTTATGTATTGCCTTCTTTGGAGTACCCTTGAAATGGTCAGTCCTGGTCTGAGGCTTTGACTGAACTCCTAGTTCAGATTTTGGATGTACCCCATATCCAGGATTCTCCTTTGGCAGATGTTTGGGTTGGAATGCGATGTTTAGTGTAGGTTCTGGATTGTTTGGATTGGGTGGATTGTTTGTCAGACCTTGTAAGTTTAAATCTTTAGGCCTTTTCATGGGATTTGGTTGTTTCTTAGTTTGGTGGGGTTTCTTACGTTTAGACTTAGTTGAGGGCTTGGATTGGGAATTGGCTATCTTTGGTAAATCTGCTAGTTGGGTTGGCTTTGTTTTTGGTGTCTTTACTTGGGGTTGGATTTGAGGCCTGATTAAATGAGTTTCTGGTTGAATTAAGGGGTAGATTTCAATCTTTGGTGGTGTTTCCTGGGTGGAAGGAGTTGACTGTGTGGTTTCACTATTCACCATTAGAGCTGGCTGAGAAGCTGGTTGAAATTGTGCCTGATGCTTGTTCTGGGTCTTATGATGCAGTATTGTTGGAGGTAAAGTTTGGTGTTTGGACTCTGGCCTTGATTGAAGCTTAGATTCAGATAGAGGTTGTGGTGTGGTCTGATGAACTGATTGGGAATATAGCTCTTGTTTAGGTTGTGACAGAGGGAAGGTTTGCAGTAAAGACTGTTTTTTTCCTTGAAGTTGTAAGTTGGTCCTGATTTCTGGATGGGATGTTGTTAACAGTTCTGATGTACTTTCAGTGTATGGATTTGTTGGATGTAGGAGATTGGGGTTTGGCTCAATTGGTTGATATTGCTGTTGGTGCTTAAAATTTGGGTGAGTTTGTGTATTGGGTTGAGATTGGAGCTTTTGTTTTGGAAGCTCTCCATGTTTTTCCGGTTTAGAATGGTGTACAGGCTCAGATACTGTGGTGACTGTAGCAAGTACTTGTGGGTGGAGCTTTGGAGCTTGAGGAATGTCTAGACCAAAGGAAAAGACTGATGGTCAACAAAAATAGAAACAAACCAATTTTCAAGATTTGCACCAAATTCTGCAAAAAGAAAAAACATTGAATAGTTTAACAAAAGCAAAAGAATTTGGAGACAGAAGAACAAAAAGACAGAGCTTAGATTTAACACACATGATCCAGTGACTACCATTACATCCTAAAATAAAAATTGCTTTTGACTGAATTATAATGTCTATGATTGCACATAACTGAAATAAAAACTATGAAGAATTAAAATAATAAACATTTAACTTGCTGTTTTACCGATTGGCTGTTTCTTGATCAAAGGCAGTTTGGGCCCAACTGTTGAAGGAAATTCCTGTCTAGCAGTTGTGGTAGAAGCTGGGAAAAATAAAATATGTTAGTGGATCTGAAACAAAATAGTAAAGAAAGTGGATTACTGAATGCTTGGCATAAATGATAAACACTGAAGTAAACAGCTGGGTAATAAATAGTCAAGTCATAGATACGATTTTAAATTTCTTCTGATTGTTGATCTCGTCTTTAGGTTATAAAGGTCTTTACCAGGAGTTGTTTGTGGAATTGTGTTCTGGGAGAAGGGCTCTCTGCCCTGGGTCCTGTTTTGAGGAGCTGACAAGAAGAGAAACATTTAAATTTTAAAAAAAGTTGTCACGAGAAAGCTGGTGAATAAACATTGTCAAAAAAGGGTCATATACAATACGAGTAAAGAATGAATGGTTTATATGTTTCATCATGGTAAAGTATCCCATTGCTACCAGAAGAATTTGAAATATAATTTATCAATAAACCATATTCAGTGACATTGCTTTTTAAATGCTACGAGAAGCTTTTGGTGGTCCGAGGTTTCTAAGCCTTCAGGGACGTCAAATTTGTAATTTTAGTTTATTTTATATTTAGTAAACCTATTGAGGAAAATCAATTTGAGATTATTTCACCATCTGCACACTGTGAGAAAAATCAGTTGAAGTGGTGAGGAAAGCTTGGAACTAGCAAGTCACCTGTATCTGTTTGTCACATTACAGTTAGTGCATAACTTACAGATGTTTTATCCTGCTGTGGTCCTTGAAATGAGGTGTTTTTATCAGTTGGCTTGCGTGAAAAAATATTTTACTGTTGTAGCCAGAGGTTATGAATGCATGTACACGTGATGCTGCTTGCATTGTGTTTTCATCCTGCAGCATGTTTGCAATTCTAGTTAAAGGTCTGGTTCACTCATTTAATCAATATGTAACGGTAATTTTCATTCGACAATAAACCATAACATCTGAAGTATAAAACTATGCCACGTCAGCTCTAACGCCAGTTCAAAGCGTTCCAGAGCAAGTGACGGAGTGGCCAATCCTGATCTACAACTCTTTAACCGAAAGAACCAACGACAAGCTGAAAAATCCAGTTGCTATAACAACCAGCGGCAACAACAGCTCCTTTCAGAATAAAAGCTCCATCCACCGACCCAGGCTTGGGTCTGACCAGACGTCAATAAAGTGTCGTGTGCCGGAAGTAACTCAAGACGGGTTTGATCTGAACCGCGGCTTCTCCTACCGGCTCGGTTTCCAAAGAGGGTTCACTGGACCTCGATATTCCTGATTTACAGAGGACTTCCACCGAAGGCAAGGTAGACCGGCAAATGGTGTCTCATGCTTTTTCTGAAGCTAACCAAAGCTTAATGCAAAACAACATCTTCAGTTCCCGTCAGAACTAATCGCTTCTTCGGATTTGCTGGTTCTGATTTAACATCACACGTCATCCATTCACCGCCTTATCCATTTTTAGTTGCACTATACATTTAGTTTTAAAGTCAGTCTAGTTTAATTTGTTGATAACAAAATTCTTAACTTTTAAACTTGACCCTCTCTCTTCTGTTGTCTCTGAGTGAATACGTAACGGTTATCTAATCCCTGCAATAAAAAGATCCAATCTTCTGGTTTAAATAACCCAGTGTCCATCAAATGGGATTCATCCTCGATATGGATCTTTAATGTCTATGGTCATTAATTAAACTGTAATTCCACATTCATTACAAATACATTTGCAGCCACTTGGGCCAGCTCCTCTGGGGAAATTCTAAGCCGTTCCCTGGCCAGCCGAGAGAAATAGTCCCTCCAGCATGTCTTGGGTTTTCCTTTAGGTCTTCCCCAGGTGGGACATGCCCAGAAAACCTCACCAGGGAGGCATCCAGAAGGCATCCTAACTAGATGCCCGAGCCACCTCAATTGGTTCCTCTTGACGTGGAGGAGTAGTGGGTCTACTCCGAGCCTCTCCCAGATTACCAAGCTTCTCACCTTATCTCTTAGGGAGAGCCTAGCCACCCTGCGGAGAAAACTCCTTTCAGCTGCTTGTATCTCATTCTTTCAGTCACTACCCAAAGCTCGTGACCTTATATGAAGGTAGGAACGTAGATTGACCAGTAAATCGAGAGCTTTGCCTTCCAGCTCAGCTCTCTCTTCACCACGACAGACTGGTACAACGCCCGCATCACTGCAGATGCAGCACCAATCTGCCCGTCAATCTCACGCTCCATTTTTCCCTCACTCGTGAACAAGACCCCGAGATACTTAAACTCCTCCACTTGGGGTAGGACCTCATTCCTGACCTGGAGAAGACATTCTACCCTTTTCCGATTCAAAACCTTGATCTCGGATTTAGACGAGCTGATTTTCATCCCAGCTGCTTCACACTCGACTGCGAACCGCTCTAGTGAGAGCCGGAGATCACGTTCTGATGAAGCCAACAGGACCACATCATCTGCAAAAAGCAGAGACCTGATCCTCAGGCCACCAAAGCGGATCCACTCAACACCTTGGCTGCGCCTAGAAATCCTGTCCATAAAAGTTATGAACAGATTCTGTAACAAAGGGCAGCCTTGGTGGAGTCCAACTCTCAACGGAAAACAGCCCGACTTACTGCCAGTAATATGGACCAAGCTCTGACACCGGTCATACAGGAACCTACTAGCCCGTATAAAGGGGCCTGGTACCCCACACTCCCGAAGTACCCCCCAAAAGGCCTCCAGAGGGACACGGTCGAACGCCTTCTCCAAATCCACAAAACATATGTAGATTGGTAGGGTAAACTCCCACGCAACCTCCAGGATCCCCCTAAGGGTATAGAGCTGGTCCAGTGTTCCACGGCCAGGACGAAAACCACATTGCTCCTCCTGAATCTGAGGTTTGACAATCTGTCGGACCCTCCTCCCCAGAACCCCTGAATAGACTTTACCATGGAGGCTCAGGAGTGTGATCCCCTGTAGTTGGAACAAATCCTGCAGTCCCCCTTTTTAATTGGGGGACTGCAGGGAACCTTCCTGGTTCGCCAATCCAGGGGAACGGCCCTTGATGTCCACGCAATATTGCAGAGCCATGTCAGCCTACACAACCCTACAACATCTAGAGCCTTAAGAAACTCCAGAGATTGTAGTCCCTGGACTCTGCTTCCTCACTGGAAGACGTGCCAGTGGGATTCAGGAGGTCTTTAAAATATTCCACCCATCAATCCACAACGTCCCAAATACAGGTCAGCAGCACACCATCCCGACTATAAACAGTGTTGGTAGCGCACTGCTTTTCCCTCCTGAGGCGATGGTGGACCAGAATCTCCTCAAAGCCATACGGAAGTCTTTCTCCATGGTCTCATCAAACTCCTTCCATCCTGTGTTTTTGCCTCTGTGACCACCCGGGCCACATTCCACTTGGCCTGCCGGTACCCATCAGCTTCCTCAGGAGTCCCACAGGCCAAAAGAACCCGATAGGACTTTTTCTTCAGGTTTACAGCATCTCTAACCGTCAGTGTCCACCAGCGGGTTTGGTCATTGCCACCATGACAGGCACCGACGACCTTTTTGTCTGAACATGATGTTCATTATAATCAGAAATAATCATTAAAAATGTTTTTTAGTCAACCACACCATTACATTCATTGTATGCTGCATCCTAAAAGGAGGATAAATGAAAAGTCCCAAAACAGAGTTAAGGCATAAGATAATGTAAATGATAACAAAAAAGAAAACTATTACTGAAACAAGTCTGACACAGTTCAAACAAGGATTTGGTTTAGCTTACCGTGTTGAGGAGGAAACGGAAAGGGACGAGGACCAGGAGCAAAGGGTTTCTGATGGATAGAAAAGAAAATTAGCTCATGCTCGTTACATTCCACTGATCACAACAAAACAAAGGGTTGAGTTACTTTTCTAATTTCTCTTTGTCATAAATGCTTCAATTATAAAGACCGCATCAAACTGATCAAAGTCCTTGGTGAGAAGTTTGCAGTTGAGAATTTTCCAAAGAAAGGATGTTTCATGGGTTTGGTCATAAAACAAAACGAGTGCCATCTATCTTCTTTCATCTAATTTCACTACTAATATCCATCTTCCTTTTTCTTTCAACTAATCTGGCCTTTCCCGTCATTGTACTCCAGACGTTAGCTCAGTACACACTGCTCTCTTTGGTTTGGCTAACCTTGGCTGCACTGATGTCATTTCCATTTAGCAGTTCCATGGAAATTTAACAGCAATCAACCCAGAGAAAAGCAACAACAAGGACACCACATCACAATGCCTGCTCAGAATACACATCCATACAAAATAAGGAAAGCTTTGCATCCATTACTTACTGGAGGGGTATTGACGGGACGCTTGACGATTTTTCTGATGACCTTCTCTTTAATGACAAGAGATTACCCAGAAATTATATCAGTAGAGAAAATTAGAAGCAGGACACCTAATCAAAATTCTTTTTTCAAATTCAAACAATAGAAATATTGCTAGCGATTCTTCCCTGAAGTCTAGAGTTTGAGTCTTGAGTTAACCAAACAAACTCTTCATTGCTTATAATAAAACTTAGAGAATAGAATCATCACACACAAACAGTTTAAAGTCAGACGCACCCTGGATGCCTGATACACTGACGTTGTGAACGACCGGCTTGCTCCATTTTCCAGTGCCATCTTTAGAATTAGGCTGGACACCAAATTCATAGACTGAGTTTGGCTTCAGGTTGTCAATGACCGTATCACTTGTTGGGCAGGTCTGGTATTTCCACTTCCTGTTCTTCTCACGGTAGCGAACCGTGTAGTGTCTGAGCCCAACCCAGAGTAGAACAGAGTTAACTGGTTGAAGGAAATACTTTGTCTTGAGAACAAGCTAAACGTTTAAGCCAGGTATCATCATTTCAATAGGATAAATGACAAAGACCCCTAGTTTACCAGTTCATGACCTCCTAGCTGAAAAATGTCTGGGTCAAGTTAACGTTAGTGTTCTCCGTGGCATTTTTACACTATCGCCTCAGGACCTGCTGAGGGTAACTATCCACAACGTACACGAGATCTAGGCCACATTTAAGACGCCACAATCAAGTAAAGACAAAGGTTTTAAATTGTACATGTGTACACTTAACTTCAAAACTATGAAGTTAAGTGTACATGGTTCTTCTTTGGGTTGCTAACAATACATGCTAGCTCTTTACTGAGGATATTAGTAGAGAGTTATTTCAGAAACAAAAAAGACTCATGATGCGAAAGGGATACTACACAGCTTTGCTTGCATTTAGCACCCTCAGAGTGTCTATTAAAAATTCTCTGTGGTCAAACCGAAAATGAAACTTATCTCATCGCTGTGCGTTTGTCTTTTCAACACCTTAATTTAACTGCCAACATGTCCCCCCAGCCTTAATTCGTTTCTACAGAAGTGATTAATCACTAAATGAAATAAATCAGCTCTGTTGATGATCTAAAACATGCTGGAAACATGCCGGAAGCAGACCAGCTCCACCATGTCAGCTCCCTCCACCAGCAGGTGGCGGCCTGCCACACTGAAGTTGCAAGTCTGGTATAGAGCTCCGGACCCCACGTGACTCTCAGTTAGTGGACGCCATTTTGGCATGCAAAAAGGGTAAACAAACACGGATGTAACCATGAACATGAACGGGATCCGCTTGGATTTTACTTCGTCGGAGTTTACTTCACACTTTAAAACAGAAGAAATCCTTTTATATAGTCAGAAATTAAATAGACTAAACATCTCCGACCCTTACCGTGCCCCTGGGATACTTTTTAAAAACGCCAGAAGATGTCGGAGCGGACTTCTTACCGGCACAACACCGGACCTGGCCGGGGGAACCCCTTGGGATTCCCCCGGCCGGAGGAGCTGGGGAGAGGTCTGGGACTCTCGACTCTACTGCCCGCTCCGACGCCAGAAGATGTCGGAGCGGGCTTCTTACCGGCACAGCACCGGATGTGACCGGGGAACCCCTTGGGATTTACCCGGAGGAGCTGGCTCCGGCGGCTGGGGAGAGGGAAGTCACGCTGCTGCCCCCACAACCCGACTCCGGATACGCGGATGAAAATGGATGGATGGACAGACAAATAACAGATTTACACGTAAGTAGTCTCGGTGTGTGATCTGACAATTGATCAACCGTTGCTTAAAAATTAAATACAGCTTAGTCGGTTAATTGCTGTGATCATAAAACACGTAAACGGCAGCACGCAGAACTCACGAGGCAACGTTTTACGTGATGTTTACTTGCTGCTGTGAGTAATAAGACAGAAAAAGCCACTCCAAAATAAGTTTAGGAAGCCCACTAAGAATCATAATAAAAGCATTTAAAATAAATACCATACACAGTTGAGGAAACGTTGGTTTAAGTACCTGATATGAAGCGGTCGCTGCATAAGCGAAAACCTTTACTCTCGGGATCCCACAGCTTCATTTTCGCCCGGTCACTAGCGCGTTTTATTATAATGATCAACGTTTGCGGCGCTCCGGATCTTGGGGAATCCTGTAGATGGCTCATTCCTTATGTCGTCCGCGTCCGTTCTGCATCCTGGGGCACAACAGGAATCTACCATATTTCCCGTTTGATTGAGTTTCTGACAATAACAAATAGTCCAGCTGCCGGCTTCTGCATGCCAATATGGCGCCGTTTCGATTTGAACTGTTGCATGCCGGGAGAAGTGACGTCAACTCCCGGAGCTCTATTCTGGCCACAGAGGGCGGTGGGGGTCTGAGTGACATTTCACAGATTATTTCATAGATTAACCATGTAAAGGGTCATTTTAGCACATACTGGCTCAAGAAAATGATTTAAAAATATGAAAAAGTTGCACAGTTTGGCTTTAATCTATCTCTCTAACAACACTGTTAGCATTGCTTCAAAGCTAACAAAGGGCTAGCATTTATCATCATTTAGCGACTCAAAGAACAAGCTTTATTTGAATGGGTCATATTAAATGTGGCCCAGATTATCCTGTTATCCTGGGCCAAGTCCTGCAACAACTACTTAAAAACGCAACCTGGAAGTGATTCAGCTGGCTAAAAGGTCAGGAAGGGTCAAACTGGGGGTTCACGGCATAAACCAGCTTATTTGGGACCAAATCACAGCAGTCCCCATACTAAGGTTAATCAAAATGTTGTATTCATACCCATCTTCTAGACAGTCATTCATAATATTCCCTTCATAAGGAGTTTTCAGCAGTGTTCCCCAGGACAGCAGCACTGAAGTGGGTGACACCGACCCAATTACAAGGTGCAGCGGCTTCTCCAATTCTACTTTACCTGAAAATGAAGTCTTTTATTTTGACATTCTCAAATTTTATCCCCTAAAAGTAGTATTACTGTGTTGCCTTGGTGCTGATAGCTTGTTAGGCCTACCTTTGCAATGCTTTTTCACTTCATTAGATGGAACAGGCTGGACAGCTATGAGGTACTTGGGTTCAGCCTCTAAAATCAGAAGGACATACAATTAAATGACGTCTCAGTCTTGTTACTGTGGCGCAACAGCAGTTGGCCGTACCAAACTCTGTCTCGTATGGCTGTCCATTCTCAGGAAGCTGGATGAACTGCTTGGAGAACATGCTGCTGCCATAGCCCATGATGTACCCTTCTAGCTTGGTGTCACCATCAGGCTGCAGAAACTTCATCACAATGGTGTCTCGTGTGGCACTGATACGGACCTTCATGTTATGACGTCTCACTGGGGAGAGAAGTGAGGACACCATTGATCTATTTGATTTAAAGCCGTGGTCAAACATCTTTTAGAATGACGCAAATGTGAATTGTCACAAAGACAACTACATCAGTTTTTATGACAGTTAGCATTTAATCCAGATGAAAATTGGTCAAAATCCTGAAAATGATTGCTTATTCCTTTTTTTCCCCTGTTTTTAAAATTAGCAAAAGCTCTGTGGTCTCTAGTTTAAATGAGAGTCTTGTGAGTCCATCCCTGAGGAAAATAAGCTCAAATGTTCCTCTTTCAGGAACTAAAAGTGAGCCACAGGAGAGGTGAGCAGAAAATATCAGGATTTGGAGTCTTATTTCCTGACATTCAGACATCCTGCCTCTGATTGGCTGACAGCAATGCAACTCTACCACTGACTCTGTTTGTTCTGCAACGTTGATGTTTTATCTCCACAAATTCAAACCTGAAGGAGTTCTGCTGTGTTGTGGAGCTGCTAATGCTAACGGTTAGCTTCTACTAGCCAAGACCTACTCTGCTCTCTCCTGGACGCTAAATCATCATCAGCATTCCCTGTCGTGAGCCAAGATGACTGAGTACATGAATGCTAATTTTGAATATGACATAGATGTCAGTGGCTTTTCTGACTTGAGAATTTCTCCCATCTATTTTCAGTCGGTGGCTAATTCAGCAAATGTTTGGTGGAAGACTATTTTCACATTCAGCCTGTGTGTTAAGCTCAGAGTGACTGATCACAATTCAAAAATAAGAAATCAAAAATGGTTTCTCAGTGAACTTTCTCTTTAAAGAAAGAGATTCAAACAGGAAACACAGTGAAGAGGGCTTTAGGGCACACAAAAAAGCCCAGGAAGCACCAGGAGTTATAAATAAAACAAAATAAATGATTGTCTTTAAAATTATGCTTTGAAGATCTTTTCTTTTCTACCATATCTTATTTGAAATTTGCAGTGATGTTTAAATTCTTCATTCATTAACACTGAAATAACATCATTTCTGATTATAATCGGTCACTCTGATTTTTTTATTACAGGCTAAACATGAAAAGTCTCCTACACCTATCTCCTCTATTAGCTTCTAATGGAAAATAGATGGTGAAACTCTAGGATTTGAAAATCCTGACAGATCTATGTCACACTGTCACTTAACATTCATGGACTCATCCATCTTGACTCGCAATGGGAAAGGCCGTTGTTGGTTTAGCGTCCAGCAAACAACAGAAAACATCTTGGCTTGCTAACCATTAGCAAGAGCAACTCCACCACACGGCAGAACTCTTCCAGGCTTGTGTTATTAGTGGTGATTAAACATTCACGTTGCAATTCAGTAGCGTTGCTGTTATCCAATAAGGCAAGATGATAAAAAAATAAAATAACAGTTCCAAGCCCGCATTTAAAAGGATAGATGTGGCACACCAAGTTCAGTGCTTCAATCAATAAGATTCACAAAATCCTGTCCCAAGTGCAAATCTGAAAAAATATGGCTCTAAGCATCTTTCTTGGCATGTTGAAGACCAACAAACATCAAGTCCGATCACTGAAAAACAAGAAAAAGTTCTGAGGTGCCTCATATTACAGAAACAATTGGCAGCCCAGTGAGATGGTTTAAAACTTTAGTAAGATTCGAATGTGTGTGTTTTATATTAACAATAACCAAGTTCTGCAGTTTTTCTGGCTGACTTGCAAAAGGCTACAGCCAACCAAACTACTCATCTACATGAATACTTTCTCTTATGCATAAACATACTTAACCAAACAAGAACAGGCCATCTTTTAAACAAATGTGAGTGAAAACGTGTGCTTATTTTTCATTTTTGTCTTCAGCCATGTGGCGCTACGACATAGCCAGAAATTTAAAGAACTGAGACAAATGAGAAAGAATATGAGTTATGACTGTTAGTTGGCAGCTGCACATGGAAAACAATCACCTCACGAGAAGACTTGGAGGATCACTGATGAGTATTTGATTTGAAAGTTATGAAACTTGGACTATTTTTTATTAATTATGTTTCCATCACTTTTGCAATGGAAATCACAGCTAAAACTAAGGAGCCTAAATTGTCCACCCATAATAGGCAGTGAGTCTAAAAACAATAGTCTTTTTGGCTGGGTCATGATTTGCACCATTTTCTTCTGTGTCCTTGGCTCATGTTTCAGCGCTAAATGAAATAGTGGAACTTTGCTTGAAAGATACTGCCAGAAGCTGCACACACTGGCAATGAAAGGAGGGGAAGCCCTGGATTTGAATAATACCCTCGTGCTTTCCCAGCTGTGTTTCCTACCTAAACTGCATTTGTTTTACTTCTCCCATTAATATTTCCGATAAAACACAAGAGAGATCAGCTCCAAGGGACCGGAGCCTCTGGAAATCTCCAGCAACGTGTTTTTATATCCAACACAAGCAAACACAGAGTCTGTCCTTTGACAACCTGTCCAGAATTTTGCCATTTGGCATGCAAGCACACACACACACACACACACACACACACACACACACACACACACACACACACACACACACACACACACTAGAGCTACACATTGAGTAAGATCTTTACATAAAACTTTGATCATAACTGTTGAAATGACCTGCGTCAGATGAGTTTTACCCTACAGCAAGTCATTCACATACACACATTCAGACGCTGATGGTGAGGAGCTATATTGTAGCCGCAGCTGCTCTGGGCCCCATTGACAGAGGCCAGGCTGCTATACACAGTCACCACTGGTCCCTTCAACCTCCACAAACAGGCAAGGAGGGTGAAGTGTCTTGCCCAAAGACACACCAGCAGATTTTTCTGAAGGGAGCTTGGTTCGATCTGACAATCACTGGACAACCTGCTCGACCTCCTGATCTACCGCTGCCCTGTCTGTTTAGTGAAGGATCTCCTGAACCATCAGATGGATTTCATTGATGCTCTCAGAAAGTAATCAATAGATGAATCATCTTTAACATCTGCCACAGCTGATCAGACTTGAGCAGCACAAAAATGGCTTCCAGTGATTCAAATTTACAGCTGTTGAGCTGGAAGTCAGTAACTGTCATTCACAACATTACTCATATTATTGACAGATTACGTGACATCATTAAAGTTTGACCAAGATAGCTTTAACTCCATCTTTTGTCAGCATGAAATGATAATGGTTGGAAATTACAGCATGAACTCTGTATTTTCAGTGATATGATCCGCTTTGATAAGCTTTCAACGCTTTAATTATTATTGCATCAAATCGACGTATATTTTCCTTGGCGACGGGGGCAATACATACCTAAATCATTGCAAGCAAGCTGTATTTTTGTGTTCATGTAAGACCTTAACAACAGATGGCCATTAGGGTCAAAAACCCCTGTGAGAGCAATTTTCCAACGAGTACTTAGATCATTCAACCTCCAGCAAAATGACAAGCATGTCAGACTCCCTTTCATCACGGGCAACGATTGAAGAGGTAAATGTGTAAAACAACGACTAAGTGAAAATTTTATAATCGTTTGTTACAAATCAGCAAATGTGTTTTGTCCTCACGGGCTCCCGTAGAAGGACACATTGCGTCTAATGTGGCATCTTCCTATAATTTTGACTAGCTCCCATGTATTTTAGACCTAATTTTTATGGTTATATTTTACGAAGCCACCAGTATTTCGCAACAACTGGGCATCATTTAATTAATTTTCAACAAAATTTTGATAGATATTTCCAGAAATTAACGATAAAACCTGCAATTTGTCTCTTTAAAGAATGATATCCTGCAACCTGACAACAAGGAGCACCATGCATGTTTAATTATTTATTTTAAATATTCAGGAATGCTTTTGTCACACAGTCTAGGACAAAAATCCCAAAATTAATCTCTTTAGCTGGCATCCATTTCACAGCAGACTGCAATATCCTACTTTTGGGTGCCTGGTGTGGTCTCAGGGAAAATGTTTGTGGCTCTGGATTGCACTATTCTGTCCTCTCTGGTTTCCATCCTGGATGTGATGGAGTGGAGAGAAGACTTGGCCTCCCTCACAGCACAGACAGACAGATGTTAAATAGTGCTGCTAAGTATGGTGGCTGCATTTGGTCAAGCCAATGAAGTGAGAATGTCTATCAGAGCCTCATGCCCGCCTACGAGGGGAGCTTTTGATGAAGAGTTAATGACAGCGGACCTGACCCACACATGCTCTACTGGGAATAACTCAAGACTGGTGTAATCCAGCACTGAGAATATCTACTATAAGTCAGTGGGAGACTGATTGACCACATCCTCCGCTGTGTAACCTCCAGAAAGGGTCAATTTTGACCTATATATTGACCGACATAGTAACCGGTCATCTACAGATGTAATTCCACTCTCTGGGTGGATTTTCTATTCAATCTTCTAACACCCAGAACGGGTGGCGACGGTGGCACAGGAGTTAAGAGCTCGCCCCGTAATCGGAAGGTTGCAGGTTCGAGTACCGCTCAGTCACTGTCGTTGTGTCCTTGGGCAAGACACTTAACCCACGTTGCCTGCTGGTGGTGGTCGGAGGGACCGGTGGCGCAAGTGCTCGGCAGCCTCGCCTCTGTCAGTGCGCCCCAGGGCAGCTGTGGCTACAATGTAGCTCATCCCCACCAGTGTGTGAATGTGTGAATGACTGATTGTGTTGTAAAGCGCCTTGGGGGGTTCCAGGACTCTAGAAGGCGCTATATCAAATACAGGCCATTTACCATTTACCCAGAAGATTCTGCAGGGCTTGTTGACAGTCCATGAAGACAAGGTTGTCAACCTTTTCTCAGACTGCTGGATTCCACACTCTGAATATAAAGCGAACTTTTACAACTCATAAGTTAAATAATCATTTATAATCATATGGTTGAATGATGAAATGTTTGAATAATCTGTGCCTAATTCAGTGAAGTTGAAATGAATATTGTCATTACAATGATCCACTTATATCTTATGATCATATGTTTGATTTAACAAGTAATCTTTATCTACACTCAAACACAATGTTCATTAGATGCAAATTAAGGTTATGGTCATCTCACATAAAATTTAAAGATTCTTTATCCACAGAACTAGAACAGCTTGTGTCTGGAACATCGACATAAATATACTGGACATCTCCTTTCCATAGGCTCCAATATCATGTTTCTGAGGCCAAATGGGAGGTGGCCACCACCGCCATTTTGACCGTGTCACAGGTTCCGTCAAGCCCAGACATTTCCACAAAAGGGAAGAGAGGAGGAGCTGAGGTTGGGGCTGTAAGGCTGGGATCAACTGACGACACCCGGTCGAACTAGCTACAAGCTAACATGAAGCTAACCCAAAGCTAACGCGGAGGTGGGAGCTAAGCTAATGGAGGTAGAAACCTAGCTACAACCGGAGTTAACTGTGCACAACACCAGAGCTTCTGAGTCAGAGATTCGCCGGGTTGACCACTGGGTAAAACCGAGTAGAACACAGAGGTCTCCGAGACTTCCACAAGCCGGCAGCCACACAGCAGACAAGCACCGCTGCGATCTGAGATGCGCAGAGCTGCTGCTGGGGAGATCCGAGTGGAAAGGTTTCCATCCCAGAGCTCCACTAGCCGGCAACCCGCGCATCAAACAGAAGCCGTGATCAGACAGAGATGCGCCGAGCTGCAGGGAGAAAGAGCTGGCATTCCGCGCAGCAAACAGAAGCCGCGAAGCCAGGGGAGAAACGGGTGGAAAACATCGGTCTCCCGAGAGCTCCACAAGCCGATAGTCGGAACCCAGCTCCACCAACATGTTATATTTCAACCCATTTTCTAAAATGCAGCATTATGTTAAATGCACTGGGTTTTACCCTATTACATTTAAATTTCATGGTTAAACAGTACATGTTAAAACCTAAGCTCAGCTCGGCAGTGACTTAAAATACAAAAATATAATTCTACTTGCTGAAAAAAATGAAGTAGAGACTCCTTGGACGCTCTATTAGTGCAATTAATGCCACAGCAAGTCATTTTGTCCAACAATTGCACAAATAATATCCAAAAAAGAATACACAAACACAGAGACTCAAAATGCCGGAGCAGTTTCCAAGCCAGACCGAGGCTCTACTGAGGCCTTTCCACGGAGCTAGCTCTGTGGTCACGTGGGTTGGATGCTCATTAATAATACTGAATTTTAGGCTTTTAATACACTTAAACAGAAGAGTGAGAAAAAAATTAACCCCCCTCAGAGTTGTCATGAGTGTAAACTAGATTATTTAAACAAAAAACATGTTTTGGTACCAGGCTGTAAACATGTTTATTTCTGCTGTGAAATTGGTATTTTTAACATGGGAGTCAATGAGGATTTGCTCGTTTCTGACACCAGCCCCCAGTGGATGAGGGTGGAACAGCAATTTTTGGTACTTCTGGGTTTGACTCAGTTTTAGAGCTCCATTGTGGGGGCTTGATTTGGAAGGTGTGGTTTTCTGAGGGATGTTTGGTAAATCCTTCAAACATGTCAAATTCTGATTTGCCAGAAATCATAACAAGTGGAGTATTAAAACTAGAGTGACTTCCTGAGTTAATACGTTTCGAGCGGAACTCCGAAGTGGCTAATTCGGAACCAGCCTCCTTGAGACACCTTTCTCTTTGACACACAGTCAAACCTGTTGGCACACTGCCAGCTGACACAGCCATACGACTCCCTAAGAGCCATCCGTCTTAGAAGCAACTAACTTTCCTGCCTGTTGTGACCTGGAGACAACTCTAGACCGGACTGGTCGCAATGCAGTTATTCTACGAATTTCGGTGCCTTGAGGTCCACCAGACTTCCAGACATTCCGGATCTGACCTAGGTTCTCCGCCAGGGTTTGTAGACACAACAGATTGCGTCTGATGCTGTTTTATTAACAATCAACTCTCTAGTTTATAGCAGACAACAAATTCTTTTACACCCAGAATTCACAATCTCTTTCAGATATAAAGGTTCTGATACACATCTACTTTACACCACACCACGTACAACACACATTCCATCACCGCATATACACTCCATCACATCTCATTATTCATTGCTTGTCATGCATTATAATTACCTTAGAAAAGAATAAAATTCCTTTTAACTATATACTTGACTCTGTCTGAATTGATATGAAGTGTGTTTATGGTCCCTGAACAAGCAAAGAATCCTAAACTCTTCTGGTTAAACATTCAAAGACCAATCAGGTTGATATTTCATATTTATATGGAATATCACATCTTATTGGTCATAATTAAATATGCAGTCGTTACGCTATAAAGTGTGACGCTACATCTGTAATAATAACATATCCAGTGCCTACTACGTATAGGCTTTACCTCAAAACCTGGCTGCACAAAGTTGTGCTTTGGAGATTTTTCTCATATCTCTCCACATACGTTTGGCTGTTTTCATGCAGGTTTCTCCAGTCTCACACTAAATCACTGTCAGATTCATCTGTGAGCAACAGCTGCTTCTCCTTTTCACTGCTCCATGGCATCCTTCAACTCCAGTCGATCTCCGCTGTCCTACTTACGTCACTGCCGTTCTTCCATCAACCCAAGCTGTTTAAAGGCTTTGATTTCATCTCTCCTGCTACATTTCTCTCTCATTAATCTATAGATCACCATGTCATGAATGCTCTGGCTTGATGAACAGCCCGTGCATTGTGCTTCTGTGGAGATGAATCCATGTCTTACAAATGATTACACTTATTTAGATGCAGTTTCAAAACTGATTAAAAAGCATTGACATTCTATTGAAGTATTTGAAAATAAAATTATATTCATTAATCATGTCACTAAAAGCAATGTAACCATTTTTGTCTATAAAAATGTTTATGAAAAAAATTAGAAACAAAACACAATAAGAAGTGATTCCTAGCCAACTTCAGCAACAGGCACTGGAATTACTGTCATCACTGACCTAAAAATCATTTTACTACCATCAAAGTCTGCAAAGTTCAGCTCACGAACTGGCTGCGAAGCACAGGCTGACATGGAAACCATTACCACACTTTCCTGTGTGCAAACAGACAAACTACAGTAACTCTACCAGACAGTATGAAAAATACTAGTGGAATTTTTTCCTGCTTTCCAGGGATGTTACATGAATCCTAATCAGACATGAGGTGGTTTATCATGCTGTAATCAGAGTGTGTTTAACGGTTTCCTCAGGGGCGCTTTGGGAAAAGAAAACATTGCATCTGGGGAATTACGGTTCGAGACCTCCATGCTCAATTTTCCAACTTATTTTAATTCTACTTCATAGGAGTGTGCTGGCCAACATCTACTCTGGCAGGCAAAAATAACAGGAGACTACACTCACAAATCAACATAAGCATGTAGATGACACCTAAAAGGACCAACGTTACCAATGGTTTAACCATGGCAACCATGAATGATCTGATTACTCATAGGCACACACAACCAGATCTCATTCATTTTAAATGTTTAGAATTTGTCAAAGATGCAGCTGAATGTATTAGAAAACAATAAAAACAAACTTTTCTTTAAACAAAAATATTTCCAGGAAAACCCCCTCACTCTTGCATGAAAATCTGATTCATTCCTTTTATTGGTGTGGTTCAGCAAAGTAGACCAACAGACATTTAAAGAATTTTATACCAGTGTGATTTAAAAACATGAACACCTTTAAATCTCACTTCATCAAATTACTCTAGCCATTATTCTAACTCTGTCCCAGCTTCGTTTTTAACAAAATCATCAAGAAGTTATGCTACAATGACAGATTGCTTCCTTTTGCAAACATCTTAGTATGTTGGAAACCGTCAAGGTGAAAGGTTCACTAAGAATAAGCACTGGTGCATAAAATTAATGCATTACATCATTTCCCTAATATGATGACCTGATGTGGATGTCTCGTAACTAAAATAATGCAGGTATCACTCACCTCTGCTCCTGTAGGAAGTTTGAGGAAGAGATAAAGCTATCCCAGTTATGAAAGCCATGAGGAAAAGGAGCAGAACGCTGTGCTGCTGCATCCTCATCAGTTTCAGGTGTAACAATGGGCTGTGATCAGAACAAGGATGAGTGAGAATCGGAACGCTGGAGACACTTGTCTGGATTTGGTTGATGGTCCAAACCTTCACCCTAACCCAGCTTAAGAAAAGAAGCTGGATGATCTTTCTGGGCTGGTGGATCTCAGGATGAGTGTAGGTCTCTGGACTGGTGCTGTAGATGCTGCAGGCAGCTCCTGCACCTTCTATAACTCTGCAACAGAAAGGGAGGGGACACCAAGCAGGACACACCTACTCCTCACTCTCTTCATCTGAAACTGAATATTTACAAAGAAGGGAACTTTTTTATGCCAAGTGTTCTGCTCTGATCTGAACGTCAGCCTGTGAACTCACCATTGCCATGGAAACAATGCCTCATAATCCTGTCTACAAATAAAAACATATTTAAATTAAAGACCGAATGGCCTTTTGCGACCACATGTATCAGATTCAGAGTTGGTTTTGTGGTGCATGGCAAGTACATGATGACAGCATCACACCATGGTCCAATTCCTAATATTTACCCCCGTTTACTGCAAGGGAGCTCAGTTATTCGCATCTGTTTCTGTGCACTGGTGTGATTTTTCCTGTTGTAATCCCTAAATGACAAAACTTTCAGCTACTGGGATATTAAAGCAAGCATGTTTGGCTTCCACATGTCTGCTTGCTCGTGCATGCGCGTGCACGTGAGTGTTAACAACTCCACCCCAACTAGCAGTGTCCAACACAAACGATCCCACATGTTATCACACGAGGCAGGAAATGTCATCCGCCAGAGGAGGCGTGTCTCCAGAGGAAGTCCCTGAACACTTTGTTGGAAATGCGACCGTCATCACGCCTGAATTCGTTAATCATTGGATCCACTCTGTGAAAATGATAAAGGAAAATAAAACATGGCTGAAGAATTTAACAAAGATGATGGAATTTAACAAACTAACTGGGCTGTTGGGAAACATGATAGATGTTTTTTTTTTTTTTTTTTTTGGTTTTCCAATGAGGAAAGACATTTTTTCAATCAAAATTTCTTCTTTTAATTTTGATACTATTTATTTCTGTGTATGAACGTATACACATCAGTAAGGTTTGATTCTGGCTTCCCCACATGTTTGAAGTGTCCTTTGGCAAGGCACTGAACCCCAGACTGTTCCAGAGCTACGGCGTACATTTTAGGAAATCTTCAGGTCTCAGGTGTCAGACATCAGACCATAGAGGAAAAAACACCCCAGGTTTCATTCAAAAACTCATCAGACTTCTAACTGAATAGTTTCAGTCAAAACGGTCTCAGGAAAAAAATTAATCAGACATTAAGGTTGTAGGGAAAAAACCATCAGACAAAAAGGAATCCAGAAAAACAGCTTCAAGAAAAAGAAATGTCAAACATAAAGGCTTCAGGATAAAAGTTGTAAAACCAAAAGCGGTCAAAGAACAAGTTGCTGTAAAACATTTAGCAAAAACTGTTTAAGTTTAAATCAAGCATCTCCAGCACCACTGATGCTAGCGAGAACAAATTAGCCAAACAAAAATAGTGCCACTCTGATTTGTCTAATCATATAAAATTTGCTAGTCTTCTCTGACTTATGATGTAATTTTCAAAACCAATATGCAACTCAATGTAACATTAAGTGTAGCAAATGAATCATTAAAAAAGCAGAATTATTTTTATTTGTTGTGGTGCAATTAGAAGCCTAATCTGCTGCACGTTAATGACATTACGCCAAGACGACTGCGATGTGACAATGGCACCGTCTGCTGGATTATTCTAGTGTAGTCATTTTTATCTGAGAAGGTTTTAGGTGACAACTTTTTTCCTGACGGCTTTTGATTTGACAACTTTTTCCCTGAGGCCTTTAGTCTGACTACTTTCCTGAAGCAGTTTTTCCTGATGGCATTTGGTTTATAAACTTTTTTCCAGAATCCTTTTGGTTTGACAACTTTTTTTCCTGGTGACTTTTGGTTTGAAAACTTTTCCCTGGAGCCTTTAGTTTGACAACTTTCCTGAAGCAGTTTTTTTGTGATGCCTAGGTTTGACTTTTTTTTCCCTGAAGCTGTTTTTCATGGTTTCTTTGTGTCTGATGGCTTTTTTCTCTTGATCTTTTAAATGGCACTTCTTAGTCAGAAGGCTGATGGGTTTTCGAATGAACCCGGAGGCTTTTTTCCTCTTTGGTCTGATGTCTGACACCTGAGACCTAAGGATGCCTAAAATGTATACCATACTGATCTGTAACTGCTGCGCGTAGAGTAAAAGTGTTTTGAGTTTTGAGCTTTCTACTCTTTTTGATTCTTGTCTGACAAACTTTACTTTTATTTCATTACATTTATTTTCCTTTCCACTTCAGGATCTTGAAATTGGAACTGTTTGCATGTGGATATTGGATTTCTTAATGGTGTATTTGGATGCTTTCCTGCCCTTTTCCTGCTGGGGTTTTTCACTGACCACATTTCTGTGTATGATCAGTTATTTCTGGATTTCAGCCTCAGAACTTTGGATTGTTGTGAGTCTTGCACCTGAGTGTCATGCTCAATCACCTGTCAGAGTTTGGCCAATTGTTTGTTAAAAATACTAAAATAAAAATATGATTAAGTTTGTGAATTCAAATGCATTAACATCCTTCCACCAGGTAAAGACAATCACTCCTATATTTCATTTAAAGGAATATTTATCAAATCAAATCAAATCAAAGATACTTTATTAATCCCAGAGGGAAATTAGAGTTTCAGTACACACAATTCAGAGATCAGACATACATGGGCAAGACACATGACAAGAATTGGTGACTGTGGTCATTCGCAACCCTGAGTCGCTCTACCTTAATAGAGATAAGAGGGGTTACATGAGGATTGGTTCAGGTGGAGGGAGAAAAAGGCACTTCAGAGTTACCCTCCCACCAGGAGGGCAGCTTTGCTCTGCAAAAAAAAAAAAAAAACCTCAAACCCCAATAGGTGGGGTGGTGGGTTGGGACTAGCCCTAGTTCAGTTCTTGCAGCTACGATAGAAGCAGCGCATGTCACCTCAGTGTGGATAGGGGGAGGAGCATTGAGGGTTGGAGGGTTGCAGTGACCCTGGAACATTTCGGCGGCCTTCCCACAGTCCCGCCCAGGCTGGGATAGGAGACAGAGTTGAGTTGCCATAGCGACGGCACATTCCACATATCTTCTGAGGGGGGAGCTTTCGTTGTAGCCTTGCTGCCTCAAGGGCACCAGATTCCGATTAGAAATTGTTTTGGGGCCCGACAGAGATAATTTCCTCTCTGTCTTACAGTTTGTTGGTCCTCAACCTCTCAAAATCCCAATAATGGACATTAATCTATCCCAATCCGTGCTGATTCGTCCACTCTCTCCTTGATGGCATCCATCTTCTGTGCCAATGAATGAATCTCTGCCAAAGTCCCAAGCTTACGATTCATCTCGACAATTATTTGAGTCTGTGAATTCACAGCACGGTGCAAACCATCTCTGAGTTCCGGGATCAGGTCAATATTCCTCAACAGCTCTTTAATTTTCCGGTAAGCCAGGTAGCCTCCAAGGCCAATGAGCAGGAAACCTGACACCAACACCAAGAATATCCACACGTCTTCAGAGTTCTCCACAGACAGCTGAGAAAGACAGATCAAGTTTCACTGTTTCCAGGAGTCCATGATGTATCCAACTGGGTCTGTCCCGGCAGGACATCCGGGAGCCCCTTCTCCCGTTCTCATCGTTGAAAACATTTTATCAATCGCGTTGAGAGACCAACTGACGAGATCCATTTAAATGTATTTCAGTTTCCAGTTTCCAGAAAAATGCAGAAGCAGCCGTGCACCCAGCACACAGAGACAGACAAGGGCCTTGAGGATAAGATATGGAGGAGAGGAGAAAAAAAAGCGTCTGCTCCCTCCAAGAGCCAGAAGATGTTTATTTCTGCACAAATACAAGAAATTATCATTTTTTATGTTTTATAATTTAAAACATTGTGTTTAGCTTTCTAAACAGTTTTCATCACACAGGATTGATGTGCTAATGGGTAGTCTGTGTAGATCAAAGAACAAAATGAATTGCACTTGACTTCACATACTGCATCAAAGACTGCCCCATATTCACATACATCCACTGCAAAATTTGGTAGAATAATGATGTGTTCATTTTTGGCTAGTGCTGTCATGGCTGTTCTTTCTTCTTTTGTAATGTTACAATGTTGCATTTTGCTGTTCTTTAATATCCCAACCACATTATTTCTAAGTCCAGCTTTATTATCTTCATCTGTGATCTGTTGACATGCCATTTCTGTTGCTTCAATAAATTCATCATGTATGTTTTCCGGTGTTATTGCAAAGTTTAAACCTGTTTTTAATATGCTTTCTTCTGCTTCTGTTAGTTTGTGTTGTGAAAGGTTACATGCCCGTGAGTTTTGTGTGGCATTATCCTGTTTTAGTTTTTTCATTGTCTTGTTGACGAGTTTGATTGACTTCCTTATGTGTCTTTGTTTTGCTTTTGTAAACTCTTTTTCTAGTTCCATCATATGCTCTTTTATTTATTTGTCTGTTTTCTCAACTAATTTGTAATTGCTTTTGAGGTCCAGATGTCTTCATTCCTGGTTGTTTTCCACTTGTTTCTGTTTCATTGTGATGTTTCTTATCATTTCTTTGAGTAGTGCTTTCTGCGTTCTTTCCATTATGTGCTGGGCCGTCTTAGTTCGGATCGAAGTTGTCAGCTGTACGCTTGTCGGCGTGATGTTTTCATCTCAAGTTGAAGCGAAGGTGGAGAAGGAAGTGACGCCAACAACATAGGCAAAACTCTGAAGAAGGGTACAATGGCAGTCAAAATGTAAAAATAAAATCAAAGTTTTGCTGTGTTAAAAATGCAGTTGGATAAAACACACAGTATGAACGTACAAAAGATGTTTAGGCATTTGACCAAACATGCAAAATTCTCTGTGTTTATTTAATAAAAACTGATAATAGTCAAAGATAAAATGATGTGGTTTCACGAATCCACAGATTCTTAGACAGTGTATCTGATTACAATCAGATGGAAAAACACTTTTTCTGTTCCCCTTGCTCCCAGTCAGCACAAAGCAATTGGAAAATGTCTCCAGATGAGGCCAAGAGCAGGTCTTTCGCAGCTCAGGACTGGTTAAGATTTGGAGTTTGGAAAAAGACAAGAATTCAGATTTCTTTTTCCATTCAATTTTTCCAGCTGGATGCCATGGTCTAAAAGGTTTGTTTATTAGGACATGGACTTCTACACCAGGTCAGAGCATTGCATTTCTGCAAAAAGAAGAATGACATTAGCAGTTGTCGATAGCTCTTTGATTGGACTCTGAGAAAAACAGAGATTAAATCTGACTGGATTGATGAGCTTAATATTTTGGCAGGGCCGACTTCTGTAGCAGTTCAGTAATTTACACAGAATTCTAAAGTATTTTTATATCAAATCACATTAATTTGCTTTCATTTTCATTGTTATGTTCACAGGGAGAAGAAGAAGAAGAAAAGATCTTTTCTATAGCGCCTCTCA